AGCTCACCTCACAGAACTGTTGCTGTGGGGAAAAAAGGAGGAGAAAGGAGCACCTGGAAAGTTAGTTTGCTATGGCAATTAAGATATCCAGCTAGAAATCAGAAGACTATGAGTTCTAGACTTTTCTCAGGCACAAAGCCGCTAGAGTGAATTTGAGTCAGCCCCTTTCTATCAGCTCTAGGAAGTAGGCAATGGTAAATCATTTCTGAAAAACCTTGCAGGGACTTATCCAGGTAGTCACTAGGAGTGGAAAAAACAGACTTGAAGACACACCCACTCACACAAAAATCCTGAGTTAAAACCTGAGTTTTAAATCCACTTGTAAGGTATAAGATCCCTGTATTATATAGCAGAATTTGGGTTAGAACTGGGTCAGTTTAGGCAACATAGAACAGTTTGTTGAGTAGTTGAGACTCACAGCAAAGAAAGAGCTTTTGGAGGCAAAAAAATCTATTTTGCTCTCAATAAAGTAGATTGCTTACTGAAGTCAAAATTGAATTATGAACCTGTCCTTTTTTTAAAAAAAAAGCAAAAGCAGTGTCACCATCATCTAGCAACAGTAGCCTGAGTGGCGTAGGAGGCTAATGCCTCCTACTAAGGCAGCATTTAACATCCAGCTGCCTGCAATTACTGCGAGTTCAATTCTCACCAGGCTCAAGCCTTCCATCCTTTCTAAGGTAGGTAAATTGAGGACCCAGTTTGTGGGAGCAATAAACTGACTTTGTAAAAATACATAAAAGTATGAAGGCTATTGCTTAACGCACTGTAAGCCGCCCTGAGTCTCCAGAGAAGGGCGGCATATAAATCAAAATTTAAAAAAAAACTGTTTTGACTTAGTTTACTATATTGTCAATTGCTTGCCTATGACAACAGTGAAGGAGAAAACGGGACTGGGGGGTGGGTGAGACTTAATCTAGGTTGAAGACTGGGAATATTTCTGGAGCCAAGGGAGCCTTAAATGAGAAGAACAAACTACTGAGAAATACAACTGCTCTAATCTTTCAAGGGACTTTTTCTAGGTGCATTTTGGTGTCAATATAAATCACAGAAAAGAAAGGAATTCAGAGGAAATTCAGGTCCAGCCTCCTGCCTAAAGCAGATGTCACTGCAGTATCCCTACCAGCTGACCTTCATTCCAGTGCAAGATCAACAAGCGATCTCCAAGCGCGCTAGGAGTCTTCCTCTTCCTTGGCCTACCTGATAGAGTGGGGAGGCGACATCGGGCTGAGAACCCACAGTGGCCACTTTGTCGCCGTGATAAGCACGGCCGAGAGCCGCTGCAGCCGCCCGCGGACAGCCAAAGAGACGGCATCTTAGGCCCGGTAACATCGCTGCTCGGGGGCGCCGGGGGCGCCAAAGGCACGACTTCCCGGGGCTGGAAGTAAGCACGCGGCCCCTCCCACGCCGAAGCCAATGGAAGGAGGCGTCGAAAAGCCGACGAGCCAGCAATGCCGCCTTGTTTCCTTTTTCTATCTCGGCCTTATTAAAGGGCCAGCCGAGGGAACCCTGGAAGCGTGCGCTAGTTCCTCTCCTCTTGAGACGGCGGGCCAAGGCTTAAAGAGTTAACGTTAAGGAGGAACTATGGGCTGCGGCCGGATTAGTCTCCCGCTCTCCTGTTCGAGAAACGCTGCTGGCAGAATGGAAAGAGGTTTAGGTCTTTGGGCCGCCGCATTTGGTTTTAAGAAAATGCAGACTGTCACATAGGCCCCGGCGTTGTGATGAAAAGGAATGGGAAAGTAAATTACAGTTTGGTTGATACCTGCTATCTAAACTAGGACTATTGTACCTAGGCTGTAAAATCAGGCAGCCAGCAAATGGCAGAATTTTCTGTATTTAGTCAATACTATCCTCATTTCAAATAGCTTTACTCTAAATTAACCATCATCACCTCTTACCTACTATCAAACTACTAGAAATCCTCAATTTATGGTTATTCCAATCCTCTCGTTGCTTTCTATCTCCACAAGAAAGCTCTGGTAATCCTACACAAGATTATCTTTAGAATAACAGAGTTGGAAGGGACCTTGGAGGTCTTCTAATCCAACCTCCTGTTTAGGCAAGAAACCCTACACCACTTCAGACAAATGGTTATCTAATCTCTTCTTAAAAACTTACAACTTCTGGAGTCAATTTGTTCCACTGATTAATTGTTCTGTCAGGAAATGTCTCCTTAGTTCTAAATTGCTTCTCTCCTTGATTAGTTTCTACCCATTGTTTCTTGTTCTACCCTCAGGTGCTTTGGAGAATAGTTTGATTCCCCCTTCTTTGTGGCAGCCCCTGAGATATCGGAACACTGCTATCATGTTACCCCTAGTCCTTTTCATAAGACTAGACATATCCAGTTCCAGCAACCGTTCTTTGTATGCTTTATCCTTGAGTCCGCTAATCATCTTCGTTGCTCTTCTCTGCACTCTTTCTAGAATCTCAATATTTTTTTTACATTGTGGTGACCAAAACTGGATGCAGTATTCCAAGTGTGGCATTATAAAGTGGTATTAACACTTCATGTGATCATAATTCTATTCCTCTGTTTATTCAGCCTAGAACTGTGTCAGCTTTTTGGCAGCTTCAGCACACTGTTGGCTCATATTGAAGTGATTGTCCACTAGGACTCTCACACTCACCACTATTGAGCAAGGTACCACATATATTGTACCTGTGCATTTTATTTACTGTTTCAGCTGAATTGTGCTGTTCTGTTACAAAACCTGATAAATTATTAATAAAATGTATAGGTGCAGTAAAACCTGGGATTTCAATAACAATATAAACTTTACTTAGTCCCAAGTCATATAGCAGAAATGCCTTTAAGTCTTGCTCTATATATAATAGTCTTTTGGCAATGCTATGGAATTACTGCTGTCGTCTGTAAAAAGTTTTCTCAAGAAAAAAGAAAGATTCTACCATAAGATATTTGAATGAGTCTGTACAGAATGTAACAGAGTTAATGAAATTCATAGCTTCTATAGCCAGTGATCACCTAATAGTTTCAATAAACACTGTTTTTACTTGATAAAATGTAATGTTAGTGATCTTACTGGAAGATTGGCAAGGAGGAATTGAATAGTAGTATGTACCACCTTCCCTTCATGCATGGTACATAAAACTTACTGTGTAATGTTTGAATATGTAATACAGAAATAAGCATTCATTTTAGTCACTAAAGTGTTATATTTGGATTATACAATTGAACCTCATTATTCACAGATTCAGTATGTGAATTTGCTAACATTTATTTGTAGCTCCAAAATCAATAATTGTGTCATTTTGCAGGCATTTGCAGACACTTGATGAGCAGCAAAAATTTTAATTACCCAATATGCAATTTCCCAGTTAAGATCAAACAAGGCAATGCTCTTCCTTCTTGTTTCTATTCTACTATAAACAAGTGTCCTGCATTTCCCCTAAGAGCAATAGTTTAGTATTCGCTAATTCAGCTTTCACATTTTTGTAGAACATAGCTACCACAAATAATGATGTATTTTGTTTTGTCCTGTCCTTAGTGGGTCATCTGTGTAAATTGGGATGACTAACAATGATTTCTCATCATCAATCCAACCATTTTGAGAAACATACTTCTTAACTTTCAGATGGTCTCATCACGATATGAACAAATCCTTTTTAACCTTGATGGCCTCAGTTTTGCAGAAGTAGATAAAGCATTCTAAGTGTAAGAGATGATTAACTTGTATTCTGCAAACTCCAGTGAGATGAGACCATATACAATGGGTGGAAATTATTTATTTATTTGCTTGTTTATTGATTGAATTTATATTGCTGCCTATTTGCCCATAGCGACTCAAGGTGACTTACAGAATATAAAACCACATTTAAAACAATAAAAACTAACAAAAAGAATCAAATAAATATAGTACAATATAACAAAATCACACACACCCACCTCCCACCCATGCAACAGCAGATCACACGAGCCATTTAATGTGCTCCATCCCACCCTGGGTTCCCCAGGCCTGCTGGAAGAACCAGGTCTTCAGCGCCTTCCGGAAGAGAATTAGAGTGGGGGCCATTCTAATCTCTGGGGAATGATGTTCCAGAGAGAGGGAGCCACCATGGAGAAGGCCCTTCTGGGTCCCACCAGATGTATCTCTCTCAGGGATGGACCCATCCCTGCCTCCCCGCTCTGATGGGTTGGGTAGATGTGACCGGCAAGAGACGGTTCCTCAGATAACCTGGTCCCAAGCCATGATTTTATAGTGATTTTAAATTATGGTGATTCAGAGCTTGTATAGGCTATTAAAGCATGGAATGCAACTTCAGTATAGGCTAGTCAAAAAGCATGAAAGGCAGACCCATGGGATGGTAGTGCATGTATGTTTGCTGGCTTTGAAATGGTCTGCCCACCATCATCTCTTCGGGGTTCTCTTACTGGCACAAGGGACAGAAGGTCTTTCTTTCTTTGTCATCTTGTATTCTTCAATATTCTGGAATATTCTTTCATTTCTGCCTACAATTTGATTGCTATCTTAGTTATATTCTTCAGTACTCATGAATATTTGTTAACTATTGTCTTATGTTTACTACTTTGAAATAAAGCCCTAAGTACTGAGATTGTGTGGTCACTGCTTCTGAATTCAAAAGATCCTGTGACTCAACTTTGCTGACAGAGTAGTACCAAACCACCACTTAAATGTGAATGAACAGATCAGACTTACTTTTTTTTAAAGTATTCACGTTAATTTATAGTTTTATAGCCTAAAGAGTCATTATTTTAATTTAGTACATATTTATAAAACTGCCAATTCCAGTTCCACAAAATAATGTAAGAGGTAAAGTACATTGATGAACTAGTTTCAAATATAATAATGAACCTGTAAATTGAACTATACAATATGTAATAGTTTAAATATTTAATTTCCAATCTGTTCCTCACTGATAAGTAAATTAAATGTTTAAAAATGGAATAGTATAACAATGAAATATATATAATTAATTTTGTTGAATTTTCTAATTCCATCAACTATTAAAGAGAAACTTTGACATAAAATTCATATAAAAATTTATTCACATAATTTACATACATAATATGTCTGCTTTCTTTGAAACAGAAAGCTTTCGCATGAACATTACATACCACTGAAAATATGTATCAAACTTTTCACAAAAGGAACCCTTTTTGCATATTAATTTAAAATAAGATGTTCTACCAATTAACCAAGGTTATTTGTCTTTCTGTCATCAGTAAATATATTGATTTTGCTATGAAGGAACCTGTATATTTTAAAGAATTTTGTAAACATTGTCAAGAAAACATACTATAGTTTATAATAAATATTAACAGGATCTTCTTGTCCTTTCCACTTAGCAAGGAAAAGTAAGGCACCTTATAGCTTGGTTTCTAAAGATTTTTGTGCTACACTTTTTTCGTTGAAATTTAAAATTATTACAGCAGATTATGGTGGATTTTTGAAGATATATTCTTCCATGTATTAATATGAACCCACACTGCTCTATGGTGGAACTATTTGGGTTAACTGTTATCACTGAATATTAGATCTATATGTACATTTGATAAGTAAGATTCTTGTTTTATTTAATTTCCTTGCAACACTGCAAAATTAAAATAGGAAACCAAAATTCAGATCAGTCAAATCAATATAGAATTGTTAAGTCTCATAGAGTACCGAGTTTGTTACTAATAACTAGAATACTGACTTGGATATCTTTAGAAAAGAGGCACTGAAATAAACTGATCTTTGGTCATGACAAATAATAATTAAATGGGTCTACTGTAATTTTTTTAAAAGTCTGGATCCAACCAATTGTCTATGTCTGAGTTTTTAAAAATGCTAATACCTTTCATATGAAATCCAGTAATAATTTAATGTCTGCCTACAGTAATATTTGCACAGAATAAATCTAGGAAATAGAAATAGCTTAATTATTCAAAATTGTACACATGAACAATGGTAGATGCAGACAATTATTTTCATAGATATTGCATAGATTAAGAAATATCTAGAGAAAAAATTCTTTTCCAATCACTAATTGCACTGAAAAAAACAACTAGAATTTAAGATCCAATAGCTAATTTAAAAGTTATTTTATAGGATTCCTTTTTTCAGTCCGAATCATACTACAGATCAAAAAGGGGGGGAAAACAATGAGAAATGGAATATGTGTATAGCTTGTGTTATTAAACTAGTAACTTAGAGCAATAAGAAAAAAAACCCAAAAAAATTAATTACATAAAGCGGAAAAGAACCATATTTATAATGTTGGGGCAACTCTTACTCTCTCATACATTTTATTTTAATTCTCTTCACTGGTATAATTGGGTTTTAAAATGGCAGCTCATCGCTTCATAAATTTAGCACTTTAGCACTAAATAAAATTTACGGAAGTTATGTATTTTCAGGATGAACAGAATTAACACAGAATAATTAACTTTCTGTACATTCAATTTAAATATTTTTTCACATTTATGTCTGTACATTTAAAGTCATTAAACATTATTTTTGAAACAATTCACATATATTCATTATAAAAATACATAAAAAGACGTTGACTTCAATTTTCATTACCTACAACGTATTTATTACGTTGAAATGTCCAGAATTTGTTTATTTTAGAGATAATATTCTCCTTTCCATAAAGATTTACTTCATAAAAAGAAGCAAATATTATTTACATAAATATTGTATTGAAGTGGCATATGATCATTCTGCTATTCCTCATTGCATTTCTAAATCTTTCTAAATATGCATGTTTAGAAAAATGTAACATAATTCAAACAAAAACAGAGCTTTTCTGATCATGTACATCTTAACATTTAACATACTTTTTCATCAATGTTTCAAAAATATCAGACTGCTCAGAATAAAAGAAAATATTTTTCTCATTCAGCAAGTTTCCTCTTAATATATTAATATTAATATGTTAAACATAAATCATTTGTTTAATTAAGATATTACATTGCTTCTGGGATTATTAGAAACCAAGCATCTCATAATCTTCATGGTTATTCTGAATCATCCACCTCCATAAAAATATCACTAAAGAAATATTCTGAAATGCTTATTGCCTCTTCTTTTTCTTGCTCCTTAGCAGAAACCTCTTCCTCAGGTAAAACCTAAAAAACAATAAACATTTTACAATTTGATGCCTGTTTAATAATTATGTAAAAGCATAATATGCAGGATGTTTGAGTTAGTTATGCAGAGGGACAGGCAATTTTATGTTTTACAATATGATTTTCTGTACAAATCATCCTGCGATATCTATCTTATGAAATTAATCAAAAGTTTGAATCCAGAGGTATCTTTCTGATCACCAGTGAAATATTTCTCTGAGGACTGAAAGCATTCTGTCTAAAGTCTGGAGAATCTGATGCAGATAATTAAGATAGCAAGAGAAAATTGGCAAGAATTAGTTCCCAACTTTTTGGTACTATTAACAGATCATGTTTCTTATAAAGATATCCATCTATACCTGAACAGAAGAACAGCTTCCACTCTCATATTTTGAAGGTGACAGCATGGTTGTTGGTAATGAACTGTATTCCTGAATCTCTGTATTGTTGTCTTTGGAAGTTGAAGCTGGACATTCAGCGGTATTTTCAGAAATCAACGTACAGGTTTTCTGGGGAGGTTTGTTGTTTTCTTTAGCAGCTACCTCTTCATCAGTATTAATTTTACAGATTAAAGGTAGAAATCCCAACGATCTTTGATATGACATATTAAAAACAATTAAAATTAATGTAACAAAATGTAATAAATTAATAAAATTATAAAAATAACCCCAGAGATCCCCTGAATTTGATTATTGATTTGAAATCCCCTGAAATAGATTATTTAATTAATAAATTCATTTTCCACAGGTCGAGAAGTATTATGCTATTTATGCTTATTAGTAGGGATATTGCAAACTTAGAGATTTTTTAGAACATAAATAGACATCATGTATAAGTAAATGAATGTATACAGTATTATGGCTTTGATGGAGCAACAGTAAGAAAGCAAACATCTTAGTGAATGTTTTAATTAACAAATTTGTTGCCAAAATAGGGCATTTTATAATTGATACAAGATTGTTCCTTTAAATAGAACAGTGGTTAATTGTTCTATTTAAAGGAACAATCTTGTATCAATTAACAGTGGTTAACTTAGGAGAGCAATTATAATTTAATGGTTCTAAATTTCTCCCTTCATTACAAATATTAAATAAAAGATTATAGGATCAGAAAATGATATAACAATGTAAAAATGATGCTTGAATCATACCTGGGTAATGATGTTTTTGAAAGGGCTTCTGTATTTCTAACTTGGTCTGATTGTTCAGAACTGTAAGCTACACAGCGTCTTTGTTCTTTGTTTGTTTCTGTTTTTCCTGCACCAGGCATTCTTGACATGAGTTCAGCCTCACTATCTGTTTCACCAAGCAATGCAGTCCCTACATTCAGAGAAGACTGAGGCTGCTCTTTTTCCTCCACTTGTAGCTCTGTAAGTGACATTATTGAAAAATTACATTAAAGTAATTGGGAGACTAAGGAGACTAAGATAGATCTATTTCGGATTTATAAGTCCTCATCAGTTAGCCACACCCTCATCCCATGTATCCTCCCTGTAAAGGTACAGTATTTGTTTTCTTTCCTTTTCATAGGCTTTATGTGTATTTCTCTTTAGCCAGGTTCTTCCTACGTAAACCAAGATTTTTATGTCTTAGTCTCCCAATGGGCAGCAGAGTGTTTGCTGGCTGCCAGAAAAAAGCCTAGAAACTAGTGGATTGTGATTTCACTGAACTAGGGCTGCATAAAAATCTTGGTTTACGTAGGAAGAACCTGGCTAAAGAGAAATAAACATGTATATGTGTCATGATTCTGCATGTGAAAACAAAAGGAACTTTACCTACCAGCATCTTTTCTTGATATATACTGTAATGTAAGAGAGGTCCCCTGCATTAAAAAAAATATGAATATTGGTAAATAATTTCTTTTAGTCGCATGACTAAAAAGCTCAATACAGTAAGGTATTTTAACATGCTTCAGTTTGTGAAATGATGGTTTGGAGTTTAAGCTGCCTAATGAAATCAAATCTGAAGTGGGGACAAGAGCTGGCCCATCCCTTCAGCAGAATCCACAAGTTTCTAACACATGATTCAACCATAAACAGATTCAGCTTCCAGGATGAGCACCAGCATGCAGAACTTAAAAGAACTTAAAATCAGTGGAACAAAAAAGGAGCAAGGACCACATCTACTGCATCGTAAGTTCTCTCCACTAACTAAAGTTGGCTGAGGGGATTCAATACAGAACAGCCAACTTGGTTTATTTGCTTTTCAGATGTATAGCCACCCCCCGCCCCCGGTTCCATAATAATTCTGGCAGCATACAACATAAAAAACAGCATACAACATTATAATCAAGAAATATATGCCCACATAGCTGCAGTTGGGGGTGGGGTTGTGTTCTTCCCCAGCTATGGACCCCAAAGAACGCAGCACACACAAAGTCCATTCAAACCTTAGTTTACTAAATAAACCAGTCTTTTACAACAACGGCTGTTAATTAACTGCATTAACAGCCGCCAAGAATTCAAAGAATAATAACTGAAAGCTTACTGTGGTTGGCAGAATGCCCAGAAGCAATTTGCAGGAAGCTGATAAGATAAGCAAGACAAGACACGAAGGTATGTGAACGAAGTTGTTCCCTGCAAATTGCTTCAGTCAGCGTTCCTCCTTAAATAGGCTAAGGGAGTGGTCAATTAGCCCCAAGCCTTACTCTCGAGGAGACCTCCTCCTGAGGAACCACTCCTGCCTTTTGGCAGCTCTGCGCAACCATGCATCGAGAAGAGGCTCCTCCTCTTCGTCCTCTTCACTTAAGGGAGCTTTTGGAGATTCTGAAGGCCCTGGCTGAATCCCTGCCTCTGGCATCACATCTTCTTCAGCATCCTCATTGTCTGACTTGAGTGCCAGCTGCACAGGCTGCTGGCGCAGCACCACACCAGCCTCCTCACTGTTGGAATCAGTTACTAGTTGCACAGGCCGCCGATGGGCCACAACAGGTTGGAGGATACTTTTAAAATAATTTGTTATTTTAGAAAAAGGAAGTAACATGGCTGATTTTTTGCATGGCTTAAATTAACTGTCTATCAACTTCCCAGAAAATCAAGCATGCAAACTATTCACGTAGGCCTCTGTGAGTTCACTGCAGGACACAGTATTTAGAAATGAACCTTTATATCTGGACCAAAGGTGCTTTTTAAAGAGGCAACTGGACTTTGTTTTCCCTTGAAAACATTTCACTTCTCATCCAAGAAGCTTCTTGGATGAGAAGCGAAAAGTCTTCAAGGAAAAACAAAGAAAATCCAGTTGTCTCTTGAAAAAGCACCTTTGGGACAGCAATGACCTGGATGACTGAGAATTTCCATAGACACTTTGTATCTGTAGTTATCAATAGAATGCAAGACTAGGACAGACTCTTGCCACATTTTTCTCATGTGGTATCCAAAATTTTCTGGATCCAGTGGTAACTAACAGATAACGGATTCTGAAATAAATATTTTGTGAATCCTTGAATCTAACCTTATCAGAGCTTTCCAGGTGTTCTTCTATAGGAACAGTATGTCTTATCTTCTCAGAAACACTACTTTCTTCTATAGATATTGAAGACTTTTTCCAATTCTTCCAAGAGTTCAAACCCAAATCTACTAATTGTTCTGATGAAGATGGATGCAATTGTCTCTCTGTGGGGTCCGTGACAGAAGCAGCACTTTCTTCAACTGCAGCTTGGATTGATCCAACACTGTATAGAGATATGTGTGTGTGTGTGAATCTCAGATATTACTGAGATTTAAAGCTTACTTTACATTCAAAGCCTTATTAATAATAAAATATTAACCTCAGAAGTAATTTCACTGATACCAATGAAATTTTATTGTCAGTTATGGCTTTGTTTAATTGGCTTTCTTTGTTATAAGATTACAGCAATAAACAATCTTTGGGGACCACAGGCATATACCGAATGTTGTTACCGTCTTGCAGATGCTTTCACAAAATAGCTACTATGCCCATTTAGTTATGCAGAACTAACCTGACAAGGCTGCTTCCTGCTACACTCTTACACTCGCAGAATGGCCTCTACAATATCTTTTTCATTTTATACAGTAGGCTAATAGGGCCTCTCTGAAACAAAGCATGAAACTGCAGATATCCATTTTCCAAGAATATCTGTGCATACCAGATGCACAGTAATGCATTCTTAGAATTCTTAGAAATAAAGACTGTAAATACTGGCATTTTTCAGCACTGCAGGTTACTATTGATTATAAGAAAAGAATCTAAAAAAAATAAAACCTCTTAAAGATAGGAAACTAGGCAGGAATCATGAGAAGTAACCACAAGCACATTGTGATGGTGGGAACTGCTTTCCCCAGGTGCAGAAAGTTATTTTGACCCTTTTTGCAGTAAATCTTATAACATGTTTATAAGGGGTTGTTTTTATTTTTTTATTTTCTATACTGTGTTTTTACTGTTTGTAAGTCGCTAGAGTTGCTGTGAGCCAGGGGTGAAATCCAGCAGGTTCTGACAGGTTCTGGAGAACCGGTAGTGGAAATTTTGAGTAGTTTGGAGAACTGGCAAATACCACCTCTGGCTGGCCCCAAAGTGGGGTGGGAATGGAGATTTTGCAATATCCTTCCCCCAGGAGTGGTGAGGGAATGGGAATTTTGCAGTATCCTTCCCCTGGAGTTGGGTGGGAATGGAGATTTTGTAGTATCCTTCCCCAGCCATGCCCACCAAGCCACACCATGCCCACCAAGCCATGCCCACAGAACTGGTAGTAAAAAAAATCGGATTTCACCACTGCTGGGAGAGAATAGGCAGCCATATAAACTTTCCAAACAAACACTTTTTTTCTCATTAATAATTGATAGTTCTAATGTACTTTGCTTACTTGCCTGCCTCAAGTTTGCATGGCTACAAATAAAAGTAGGTAATTCTGCATTCATTTCTACGAAGAATACCCCCCAATATTTTCAAAAGTCACACAAGTTAGCTCTTTCCCAAAATGTCACTTTTAAACATGTACATACTCATTTATTCTGAATGGTGTTTTTCAAATTTGGCAACTTTTAGGATGTGTGGACTTTTAATTCCCAGAATTTTCCAGTTAGCACATTGCCTGGAGAATTCTGGGAGTTGAAGTTCAGATATCTTAAAAGTTATCAAGTTTGAAAAACACTGATTCAGAATATACTGGAATACAGGTAGTTCTCGACTGCATTTAGTGACTGTTTGAAGTTACAACAGTGCTGAAAAAAAGAAGCTTATGGTCATTTTCCATACAACCTTTGCAGCATCCTTGTGGTCATGTGATGAAAATTAGGACGCTTGGCAATTAGTATGTATTTATGATGGCTACAGTATCTCGGGGTCATGTGATCACGTGCCTTCCACTGTGCCCTTAAAACTCACTTTTTCCAGCAAGCCGGGCTGGCTTAAGAAGAAATTTTTAAATGTTTTAATTGGTTTGTGATTTTTAATTTTTGGGCCAAATTTATATATATTTTAACTGTTTTTTAATATTTGTATTTTATGTTCTTAATTCTGGCTATACACCGCCCTGAGTCCTCAGGGAGAAGGGCGGTATATAAATTGGAAATAAAATAAAAATAAAATAAATAAATCACATTTTGGGACCTTCTGACAAGCAAAGTTAATGGGGAAGCCAGATTCATTTAACAACCATGTTACTGACTTGACAACTGAAGTGATTCATTTAACAACTATCTTGCTTAGCAATGAAAATGTTGGGCTCAACTGTGGTTGTAAGTCGGGGACTATCTGTACATTGTTACATCTCTTTTCAAGAGAAAGAATATTAAATTTAACACGTGCCTATGGCTTAAAGGCAAAGTCCCCTCTCTATTTTTAGTTTGTCCCCAGAAAAGTACTTACCAAGGATTAAATTGGATTTAATCTTAGTAGGTACAATTTAATCAAGGCCTTGGCAACATGTTGAACTAAAAAATGTTTCATGTTTGCTTCCCAAGGTTAAGAGATTCTCATATGCAAACAAAGAACTCTTTATTGAGTTGACCTTGAAATATGGACTTTATTTATTTATTTATTCCATTTACATGGCTGCCCATTTCCACAAGTGACACTGGTTGGCAACCAATCTTAAAATAAATTAAAAACAAATTCTCTTCAGACATAAAAAAATAAAATATACAGCAGCTATATCACTATTAAAGGCTTTTAACACAATCAGGAGATGGGACCCTTCCACCCTCAGGGCCCCAGGCCAGGGCACAGAACCAAGTCTTTAGTATCTTGTGAAAGGTCAGCAGAGTCAGGGTCATCCTAAATCACTGGAGGGAGAATATTTCATAGTATAGGTGTTTGGAGCAAAAAAGCAGGTCTTATAGGCCCTGACAATTAGCATTCGTTAGCTAACAGAACCCAAAGCATGCTTATCCTCCTGGGCCAGATTGGACAGGTAGAAACATGGACTTCAACCAGCCTCTGAGAAAAGGGAAACAAGCATAACACAGTGCTGCCCACTCCCTGAGAAGGATACCATGATTAATAGTATCAAAAGTCACTTGACAGGACAAGAAAACCAAGGATTGTTAATCTCCATGAAATAAGTAGAATTTTAGGCCAGGCAGGCAATATCAAGAGAAATCTCAGCCTCAAAATCCAGTCTCTAGTTTTAAGAAGTTCCAGAAGTTAGCACCTGAATGCTAAAGATTACATTCATATTTAACATTTACCTTTCATCTCTTCTCAGTTCCAATGAGTCCATATTATCTGAGGTGAAAAGTATCGGTGGAGGAAGCAATTCCCCAGAACCATGTGAAAGCACAGCAGGGACACTATTACATTCCACAGAATCAGGCGAGATTTCCACCAGTGTTAGAATGAACTCTGGCTCTTCCTCTGCATCTACGAAATCTGTAATGTCATCTCTTACTATCAAGAGTATCAATAAAAACAGCAGAAAAAGTAAACCCTTGAGAACATAAGCATTCAATTTTTCTTATATACTTATTTACTTCTAAATCACCATGTGTTTGCATTTCTGAGCAATGCAGATCCTGTAAGGAAAAGTAGGCCTGCTTAACCAAATAACCCAAGTTATTCTGGTAAGCAAATATGCTTACCACTCCTGTAGATATTAACCTGCTTAAAATGTGCTGTGTCTTTCTGCTCTTTTTTCTCTCTTGCCATTCAAGTCCCCTGATCATTCTCATTACTCTATTTCTTGTCCTTAAGTCTCACTTTACTCCTTCCTCTCAATAATTATTCTTTTCCCTTTCTATCAGATAATGGTAGCATTAAGGAAATATGCAAATAGGATAAATGCAAGAATACTTTATTTTAAATCCCAAAAATGTCCTCTAAGAAAAAATTAAATTATAAATAAAGGTTGTGTTCAGATAAAAAATTAAATATTAGATCATACCTGCACTCATCTCTGTCATTGCTGAAATGATAGCATTCTTGTTTCCTTCAGTCTAAGAATAAAAATATCACAATGAATATATCCAGCATGTCAAATAATTCTACTGTCCAGTATATATAACTCTAAAATAATTGCATGTGTTTAGGCATGCTGTCAGAAATCACATAAAGCTCTTCTTGTCCCAGGAATTCAAAGGAAAGAAACTGGAAAGCAGAGTAAAGCCCCTAATAAATAAAACTATGAACAAACTAGAAAAATAGCAAGTGTCAGAACACAACATAAATCATTTGTAAATGAAAATACATACAATATTATTAATCAAGAATGGAATACAGCATATTTGCCTTTCATTTACAGTATTTAGAAACAACTATAGCCCAGCAGTTTCTCAGAAAAATAATATGCAATAATTTAAAAACAATATTCCTTCAATAGCTGTAATTACAGTAGCTTCATCTAAACCCAAATGTCCTTTTTCCACTAACACTTTGTTCATTAATGGAAAGTCAAACACTTTTTGGAAGAACAGTGACAAGCCTTTTCAAAACAAATATAACTACAATTTTAAATCAGTGCTAAAGTAATGCTTACTAAAAAAGCATAGCTTACTGAAAAGGAAGCATGAAAAGAAAAAGCAGTTAAAGAGTATAATTCAGAGTTTAATATTAGCAACCTATCCAATTTATACAAACACACATATAACTCTCAACAGGATTAACCAGAATATACTATGATGAATTTAACTAGAATATGGTTAACCAAAATATGATGAATGTTGTAAACTTATATTATTTAGCAACATTTTTCCTTTTATGCTATATTCCAAAATGTAGCTATTTTGGTTAATTAACACTTCTTACTTGTGCAACTTCAGCTGTAGAAAACTGGTGTTCAGCAGACCCAAAAGTGTGGATATTACTCTGTATGTTGAGATTATCTGGTGGTTCAGATAAACAAGTTGCTGCTTCTTGAGAACATTTTGGAGATGTCACATCATATGAAATTTCACAAATATCTTGTATCGGGTTTCCACTTTTGCAAAAAAATGAAAATAGTTTTAATCTAGATGCTGTTTATCAATGAATTGTTCCAGAACATCTTTATACCATGCCAATTTAAAATTAATGGCATGCGGTTTACAATCATTATGTATAAACAATGGCACCACACCAGTGGTGGGTTCCTCCCAGTTTGGCCCGGTTCGGCCGAGCCGGTAGCGGTGACAATATGACGTCACCGAAGCGGTTCTCTTTGTTCAAGAGCTGGGCTCTCCCACCCGCCCCCGCATTATTCTTAACTTTTATTTCTTCTTTTTTAGCCCAGCTGATCGGTGCAGCAGAGTGGATTGCTGCACCTCATCTGGGCAGATTCCTAACGCGCTTACGCGGAGCGCATGCACGAAGAGGCGATCACGAGCGAAGCACGTTCACAAAGAGAACCGGTAGTAAAGCCGGTTAGAACCACCACTGCACCACACAATTTAAGAAATGTAGATAGTAAGGAACGTGCTTTATAAAGAGAAATGAATTCCAATTCTCTTAAGAAGGTACTTCATTGCTCTCATGCACCTAAACTTATTTGAAAAAAATTAAGAGCATTTATATTTATATTAAGATTGACTGCTTTTTTTAGAAAATGCAAAACATCATTTATAACTATATTCCCAGTAATTTTTGAGAACTTCACCATGCAGACATCTATGTTTTACAAAACAATTTACTACATATTATGAAACATCACCCCAAACACTTGAGAAATAATAAAAATACAACTTTAATGGGATGTATACCTTTCCATATTATTTTCCTGCATGACGGGGCCAGCACTTACAGAATGTACATCACACTGTCCAATAGTGCTGATTTTAGCAAGCTGCTCATCCATTTGGAAATTCATTTCAACTTTCTGCTCTTCTCTATGTTTTTCTGACAATTTGTCATCTGTTACTTTAGATATTAGAATACACAGGAAAAGTTTGTAAGCTATTACTATTTAGATGAGGTGGACAAAAATACATTTTGCTTAGTTGTGAGATGACTTAGTTGTTACCTAAAGTATAGACTGATCTAGAATTTTATAAGCCACTTAGACTTTGTCATTAATCTACTAGCTATCAAGAAACAAATGTCCAAATATTTCTACAAAAATTAATGAATTAGGCGTAGCCCATAGATTTAAAAAAATAACACCCTCTCTCAATTGTGCTGATAGCTATAAATATCAATAAGATTTTATTTCAAAATTTTCTATGGTATAAACTTCAAAAACCTACCGTTTTGGATTTCTTTACATTCTTCCATATTTGAACCTAGATTCAGAGGTTTTTGAGAAACATTCCTGGTAGATACCAAGCCACTGTTAAGATTTGGTTTAGGCTTTGGGAGTCTGTATCTTGCTGGCCTGGGTATTTTATTTCTTTTACATAAAGATACAGTACTGCAGACAAAAGTAAAATGTCATTAAACGGATCACTCATTTTCTCAGCTCTTAATATATTATTAGGTAGAAAAATTAGCAAACAACTTTAGGACTACTAAATCTGTGCTACGGAATCCCAGAGTAAAGATATATAATATATCCCTTCATTGGCATCTAGATGTAATCTGGATTTATCACTAAAGGAGGAATTTAGGAAAGACGCTAAGGAACTGTTTTCACACTCCACATCAATGTATAATATGCTTATAACGTAAGCATATTATATGATAGCCTCAAATATGAACTGGACAAAAGTTGGATTCTTAGCTGTTTATCACTCTGAATATAACACATGAAAATTAACATTAGAATTTAATTATCCTAATACTATTAATAATTAAGGCAGATTACTGTCCTCCAGACATTTTGTGTAGCAATCCTAGTTTGTTGGTAGTTCACTATGCTGATTATTTGGATTAAATTCCCATAATGCCATACAGTCACATTTTAATAGATGAGCAACTTATAAAAATCTTTAAAATAAAAATATTCATAATGCAGATTTCTGCATTTTCATTGCACGTGCACCAAAAGTTAGACAATAACTTAAAAAAATTAATTTGAAATGGGGAAATTTGTTTTATACAATTAAGCATGTTATCAAAATAATACTTACGAATTTAAAAATGGATAGGATTCCTAATTTTAAAAAATGTTGGGGTAATATAGGAGAACAAACCTGCAGACTCTAGTTTCCTGTGAAGATTTTTCCAAATCTGTGGTAGTTTTATTTGTCTCATGTGGTGAAACCAGTGCAGTTTTTGAAGAGTCTGGAAGTAACACAACTGTCTTTTCTTCCAAGCATTCTTCAGAATATGGTTTACTGCTGTTACCTTCTGTATTATTTGTATTATTTGAATGAATAGGTTCATTTGCTGAAGGGACTGCTATTTGTACTTCATTTCCTGAATATAAAAAGATAACAGGTAGATTCAGTTTATCCTTATTGAGACATTCCTGCATTTAAAGCAAATCAAATAAAATCAATAAACTGTTCCTTGACTATTCAAAACATAGTTGCACTTGCACAGCAGCAGGAAAAAATGAGAGACACAGAAGACAAAAGCATAACTTTTTTTCAGGTTTTGAAAGGTGCTAATAATATTTTAGGCTTTGCATAATTATTTTGTCTCCAGTGTCAAAATAGCAAGAAATTTTGCTGTGATTCAATGAGACCGGACTGGGCTATGGAGACTTTAAAAAGCCTTCCATCCTTCAGAGGTTGGTAAAATGAGGACTCAGGTTGTTGGGAGCAATATGCTGACTCTGTAAACTGCTTAGAGAGGGCTGTAAAAGTGGTATATAAGTCTAAGTGCTATTGTTACTATAGGCTATCCACTCTCATTGTACATGATAATATTGACCATACCTTGGATATCAGTACGTAACTGAAACACTGGATCTCTCATAGCAAGTAAAGTCATGGCTGCTTCAGTACTTCCATCATTAATTCCTAAAAAAGTTTCCAAATATATAGGCTTACAAATCAACAAACGTATCACATTTCTTTATATTATATTATTGAAAATATCATTATATTTTCAATGGAATTTATTCACAGATAAGTAGATATAGAAATACAACCTTAGTGATTAATGCTTGATTCATTCAAAGAAGGATTTAGGAACATCCTCTCTACACCCACAGCCACAGCCACAGCCACAGCCACACACCATGTAAACTAAAAGCTATACTTTTAATTAAACAAATCTCCATTAACTTGTTCATGAATATTTTGGACAATGTACCTGTTCCTTTTGTTTGTTCTTCTTGTGTAATATCCTTTTGAAAGAGAGAGAAAAAAGAAATCAACTACTATGTTTCTGGACTACATTTTAAAATAAATTAAATGAACCAACTTTGATTTTTCACTTCCATGAATGGATATAATTCTAAATCTTTATGCTAAAAACAGTTGCAAATAGATTTATTTTGTGGCATTACTATCAAATAATATAATAGTGACAATGGACTCAGTTTACCATAAATTCAATTACATCCTTCCCAGTATTTCTAACCACACTGTGTTCAAGACTATTTACTGAAGAATACTCAACAACAATCTTGATAAGCAATCAGTTCCATCACCAACAAAACTCTTACTATCTCACATATTTAAAAAATCAGTTATAGTTGACAAGAAAGAAGTTTTAATTTTAACTCTGGATATCCTTATCCAGAGAATTATATTAAACAATTAAACAATTTTATAATTAAAGCACACTATTTTGTAAATTTTATACCACTTTGCCTAATATCCAGGTATTAATTACTGGATTAATCAGAGATACATGTTGGGGGTCAATAGCAAACTATGATAATACACTGATAAGAAGTAAAGCTAATGAAATCTCATTATTTTTCCATCAATAGTTTTATTACAAAGAATAATGCTATAACCAAACCAAGGTTTACCTAGAATGGGAGACTTTGAATGAATCCAATACAATCCTAGCACTTTTTTAATAATAGTAGTAGCGGACCACAATTCCCTGTTTTCTTTTAAGTACATTATAACTAATGTTAGGAAAGTGAATGAAAGTTCTGCTTTCTGTGTAATTGAACCTTGTTTAATCGATCCGTCAATCAGTCTATCAATCAATCAATCAATCAATAACAGCAAGTAAATGCCAGCAGCAATTGCAAGATGAGAAGTTAAACAGGAAAGTAGATAATTTGCTTACAATAATAAATTGTTACAAAGATCTTGGTGGATCAAGTCTTTTGTGAGTGGTCCTCTGTTTACAATGGCAATTGGGATTGGTTGCAATTATAACCCAAAGATGTGCAGCCTGTTAAGTGGAAAGTGTCAGAAGCCTCAGGTAAAGAACTTGAGGGTGCCATAGGGGAGTAGGGAAGTGCCTAAGAGGGATAGGGAGGCTGGGGGAGACCTTGGGAGTACAAAACTGTCTATGTCAGAGGTCTCCAATCCCCAGGCTGCGGCCTGGTACCAAGCCACAGCCTGTTCGGAACAGGGCCACACAAGTGGCGAACAAGTGTGCAAGTACACACAGCTCCATTTGCATGAATGATAGGCGCGCACACTCGCCGCTTCTGTAAATGGAGCTGCGCATGCATCCCCTCTCCCACCCCACCAGTTGACAAAGCTGGAAAGGTCAGAGACCCCTGGTCTATGTGAAGTTGGAGGAGTGGGTCCTATGGTGTGAGTACAGGAAGGCCAGGGGAATTTATCAGAGTGACTTGCAATCTTCCCTGTCAGTTTTCCCACTGACTTTGCTTATGGGAAGCCAGCAGGGAAGGTTGCAAATGACAATCATGTGACTGAGGGAAATTGCAATAATCATAAGTGTTGCGCAACCAACTGCCAAAATCACAATCACATGGTCATGAGGGCATTGTGATGTCCAGAACTTTGAGGACTACTCATTCAGTGCCACTGCAGCTTCTAACAGTTGCTGTAATGACAACAGTAGGACAACAGTAATGCTCATTCTGCCTTACACATATTTATGTTTCATCATAAAAGAAAAATTTGCATACTTACAACTGCTGGGATGTACAATTTGCTATCATCTTGCACCACAGGCTGAATAGACAGATTTAGATCATGAGAGATACATGGCTCATCTGCAACATTCTCATATATCTCCAACTGTCATGGAGAAAAACAACAATTATTTTAATTGTCCAAAATAATCTAGTTGATTCTCTTTTTATATGCTATAATGTTATACTTCGAAATAAAAGTGCAAACTATAAAATATAAAATCCAAGTTTACTCAAAATACACTTACACTGACAATTACATTTCCCAGGTTAATTACTCATGTTAAGACTGCTTCCACATTAAAATGCATTGGCAATTATAATAATTTTACAGGGCAACAATTATCCTTTAATCATTTGCACAAGTTTTATTTTTCTTTTGTTCACCTATGTTCTTAAAAGATATAATTTGTTTAACCAATAGTCTGGGAGAGAAAGGCAATTCTTCAAAAGTGTGACGTTCCTTCATGCATCACACCCTTTTCTTAGTTCTATTCATTAACTCTCCTCCATTCTGTATATGACTTGTTCACTCATTCTAAAGGCAAAATAAAGTTGCCTTGAACCATGAGATGGGTAGCAAATAAATTTGGTAAATAAAAATAAATAAATTAAACTATCCATGTGGAAAGTTCATACAAAGATGTTTCTAAGATCTTTTTTTGTCCCCATTATTGTATTTACTTATACTGGAATACACAAAATTATCATTTGGAGAATTACCTTACCTCTACATATTATTCTATTAGGACTCACTTTGAAAAAGCACATGTCTCTATCCGAGCATAAAAAAGTGAACACGCTATCTAAAAGGCAGTTTTAAGATTCTTATATGCCCCTCATAATGACACAAATAATGAACTGGGGAAAGAAGTACATAGAGCAGTTACTAATGTTCTAGTGGTAATGACTAAACCACTAGTCCTTACAGACAGATTTACAACTTTTATGTACTTTAAGTAGCTCTAATAATCTTGTTTTTAAAGGGATCATTGCTAGGAAGTCAGCCAGCAGTTCCTGGCTGGCCTTAGGGAAGATTAGCTGGGCATGCCTGTCAGCAGGTGCAGGGAAAGGGAAAGCTAAGTCTGGCAAGGCAGGAAGAAGGCTAGGCCTCTTGGAAGTGGGAAGAGAGGGAAGAGCCCTGCACACTGCTGGGTCTTCTGGACATGGATGGGAGGGGGGAGGAAGGGGAATAGAGGAAGCCCACATGCTGCCTTACAACCTACAGCAAGTTTCTGCATGTCTGTGGGTGCTGAGTGGAGACCTCCCCCCCCAAAGCATTCCTGCATTGTGGTTGCTTAATGACCACAATGGACAGACGTGAGATTGTTGTTGGTGACTGAGGCAGTTGGGTGGATGTCTCTCTTAACAACCATAATGACTTACAACCAAAATTGTGGACTCAACTTTTCTTCACCAACTTTTAACTAAAATTTAGCTGAGAAAGGTCTTATCAGGTTTCACTTGACTCTAAAAGGAATCTATGGCACAAAAAGACTAATGGGATGCATTAATTGAACATTTTTTTAGTTGGTATTTTTGATATACCTCTTCCATTGTTTCTTCAATGTGCATAGGAACAGGATTTGGAGATCGAAGCCCTTTAGGAACAAACACAGGAGCTTTATTTACTTCTTCTGGTGAAAAAAATTCAACTTCATATTCTGATTCAAGTTCATCCTCATCATCCTCCTCCTCCTCTTGTGAAGAAGCTCTAAGGGTTACCAAATTAACTTTAGAATTTCCATTTCTTGATTTTTTACGAGGGGCTGGTTTTAAATTTCTGCCTTTGATGACATGTTGTTTAACTTTTTGTTGGTGCTTCATTTTTCTACCATGGTCATTTTCACATTCAGAAGTGGAAGATGTTTTTGAATCATAGTTTTTGCTCCTCTGCTTTAATGTTCTTCCTGGTTGCTTTCTAGATCATAAAGAGATGCTTTAATTAATAGAACTGACAAAAAAGGAACAAAAGTAAATAGTTCTAAAGTAATTTTTAAAATATCAAAAATACAAGATAACAGATATCTTGATTTTCTTTTAGGCATCTGAGTTACTAAAATAGATTTTTAAGAATTGTTATGTATAAATGAGTTTATATTCTGGTATTTGAAATTAAAAGAAATATTGTAGGCCGTGTTCCCATCTAAAAATACACTCAAACCATTCTACCAAGTCTTATATCCTTGCTGATCAAATCTGAAACAGGGCCTATGAATTCATTGGCCTGGGACTGACAAATGCAACCCCCAATTGACATGAACAAGCACAGGCACAGGCAAAATATTTGAAGGTGTAAGTGAGGCACACTGGAGCAAAAATTTCTAACTTCGTAGCTCTCTGAATCCAACTGTGGAAAACACAGAGCAGTCCCTATGTTAAGCTAGATCAAAATGTTCTCAGTGAGTAGCAACTCTGACACATTTGAAAAGCAATGCAATAGATCTGAAAAAAAATACAGACAACAACAACCAAAACATGGGGCGGGGGGGCGGGAGGGGGGTTCAAGTGCCAACCTTCTGGGGGGGGAAAGCTAAAATATATGGAATTTATGCTTAGCTCAAAGGAAAGGTGACTAGAAGGTTGCAGAACATAATCAAAACATATTAAAATATCTGGAACAGAGGAAGTGGATAAGGAGAGTATTTACAGCAGGCTATTTTTTAAACCCATAATTGACCATAATTAACCTGTAACATTTGTTATGACAGGTCGTGGTGGTGCCCACTAATTTGGATGATTTTGAAAGATATTTGATACATTTATGGAGGTCAGGAGTATCAAGCACTATTTGTCTTGAAATTTCAATGTAATGTTTGGGTTGAGGGCAAAATGACTACATATACCAGTTGCAGAAAAATAATGGCAGGAGTATGCCTCCATCTCCAGCTTGCAAGTACCACAGAAGCATCCACAGTCATCCTGAACGGAAGCATCCATGGTCATTCTGAAGTCAGTAGACATCAAAATCAAATTCAATGAATACATAAGTAAAACTAAATACAGATACTTGTCCTGGACTAAGATGGGCTTTTGATCCAGAAGAGCTATTCTTATGTTCTTAAGGTAGAGATATACAGTATTCAGGTGTTTGTCTGCAAGCATTTGATGAATAACCACAATGAGTAATAACTGAATTACTATACCCTTACTATTACCCTTACTATACATAGACTTGCTTTGATCAGGTTTGATAAGAATCAGCTGTGTAAGAGAAGATGAATTATAACCCCAGTATAAAACTCTGAGAGGACTCGGACCCTTGAAAGCAATGTCTGCTGTTTGTCTTTGGGCTGTGAAATCTCTCTGATGTGTATGTGTCTATATTTCCTGGGTTGACTTTTGTTCTCTTTCAGCTTTTTTTTTTTTTTTAAATTTGATTTATATTCTGCCCTTCTCCGGAGACTCAGGGCGGCTTACAATGCGCTAAGCAATTTTCAACTTTCATAGGACTTGTTTTGAATTTTCTATTGTTCTTCTTCTTACAGTCTTTCTGACTATAGGACACCTTCCTTAGAATCTGATCCTGAATGCTTTAGAGCCCTCTCATCCCCATACAAGACATAACACTACTCAAGGTGTACTTTTACCCTTTTAAGTTTTCTACTTCTTTCTCTTGGACAGAAAGCGGTTTAGGGATTTCTTTTTTAATTTGAGTTTCGTTCTCCGAAGGCTGGCCTGACGAACCATGTTTCCCAGAGTGCCTACTTCTTGTTGAGGAAGCTAATTCTATGCTTTCTGTACATTTTTTTTCTTTCCTTGATTCAGAAATTGATGCAGATTCCATCCAATGTACTGGGCTGCCCTGGAAAGAGTAGAAACACATGCCATGTTAATCGGGGCACTTATATAAAGATGTCAAAATGTGACATGTTTGTCATGATGTCGTTGAAGAAAAGACATTACTATGCCATGATGTCCTAAGATTGGAGATAAGCACATAAGTCATGTGGGATGTCCTCACGTGTATATCATTATTTGATCTTGTGAACACCTATAAATTCAATGCAGGTAGTCCTCGACTCACAACAATTCATTTAGTGACTGTTCAGTTACATCAGCACTGGAAAAAGTGACTTATGACCATTTTTCACACTTATGCAGCATTCTCATGGTCACGTGACCAAGATTTGGATATTTGGCAACTGGTTCATATTTATGATAGTTGCAGTGACCCCTGATCATGTGAACACCTTTTGAGATCTTCTGAAAAGCAAAGTCAATGAGGAAGCCAGATTCACTTAACAACCGGGTTATTCACTTAACAACTGCAGTGATTCACTTAACAACTGTGGCAAGAAAAGTTCTAAAATGGGGCAAAACTCACTTAACAAATGTCTCACTCAGCAACATAAGTTTTGGGTTTAATTATGGTTGTAAGTCAAGGACTACCTATATATATTTATTTTTCCAAATATTTTTAAGGAGCATCAGTGGAACCTTTCAGTCGGCTGCACTGCACAGCGTATTTCCTCCTGCTGCCTTCCTCTGCAACTTTACAGCCCTTAAAATCAATTGCGGTAAGGAAGGCTGCATCTGTATACAAGGGAGAGTTATTTGTAAAAGGAAATCAGAAAAATAGAAGTGCTTTCCACTAACACCAGAAAATCAGTATAATCCAATATGTATTCTACTTAAATATACTCCATGCACATATACAAATGTATGGTATTTAAATACATTTTTATAATATTTCTTTTTTGAAATCTGCTCATGAGCTGCTCTAAGTTTCTATGGAAATAAAAAAGATCCAACAAGTATTTTGTATTAGCAAATGCAGTACTCATGAAAATATTAATCAAGTGATGATTGAGGATGATTAATCTATGCTTACCATTAACGGAGTTGTTTTTCCAAATTTGCTGCCATATGAGGTATCACATTCTCCATCTCTCCCCGTATCTCCTTTGCTATGTTCTCTTTCTAAGGAGGATTCTGTGTTTTTAGGAACTTGTGCCACATTTGGCTTTACCTTCTGCAGATGATCTATCACAGGCAGGGCTGTATTTTTGTTTTCTGAATGATTTATTTCTTGAGGGTCACAAGTATCACTAAAAACAAAAGTAACCAAAACTATTGAGATCATACAGGTTTTGAAATTGAAAATATATTTGCAACTATTCGTTGTCTAAATCATACTTTTTTTTTCAAAAACCAAAAACCAGTCAAGTTCATTTGGTTGATTCAAAAAAAGACAAACGTGGAAAAAGCAAGAAAAATTTGGAGTTGAAAATTAATGAAAGTATTATGCCATATTATATAGAAAATAAATATTAGGATCTCAGGAAAGTTTTCATTTATTTATTGAAAACTGTTTTACCTTCCAAGAGCATCCAAATTTTTTCTTTTAACGTCATCTTGGTTTTTCAGAATACCACATTCCAGTGATTTCTCAGAAGGATGTTTCTTCTGATCAATCCATTTTTTTGATGAGCTTTCAGTAGCTTCTGATCCTTCTTTTCTATCTAGATTATCTGGGAATGCCTGGACAATGACTTCATCCTTGATGTTGAAGAAAATTTGTGAATGATAATTATTATCAGAGTACAGCTAAAACACTTTCACATTAAAATTCAGAATTTAGAATATTGACATTTCCTATTTTGATAGTTGACATGATTTCTCCAAATTTGCAGTTCATATCCTATGTAAATTGGTAAGATATTGTTACAACAGTGATGTACTTAGTGATATCTAATTTTTATGTTACTAAAAATGTAAGAATATTTTAATTGAAACTCAAACATTAACTGCATGATTTCTTTTTATGAGATGTGGGACAGGTATGGTTGCATCTGGGAATCACAATAATTTATGGTTTAGTGAGACTTAAACAACTGTGGCCTCCATACAGGCTTACAATTCCACTATCCCATAACTACAAGGAGCATGAAAGCTTTCATCTCAACTTCTGATGAACTACATTTAGCACTATTTGCTGAACCAGGGAAGATTTTCAAATCTTTACCATAGTTAATTTCAAATGTACCACTTTAATCCATCCTTTATATTTTATTTTATTTTATAATAAATAAAAACTAAAAAATATCTTAAATATATAAAATATTTAATAAAGATTAAAGATAAAAGAAGTATATCATGTTTTTATTTATATACATACATACATACATACATACATACATACATACATACATACATTATACACACACTATTAAAACTCTAGCAGCTGCCAGGTAAGATGGACAAACGAAAGCATAGGACATGATATAAATAAATATTTGTTAAATAGTGCTGAAAAAGTTCAAATAAATTGAGTAGGTAGCTAACCTCTGAAATTAGATATGGATCATCTTTCTTGCTAATTTCCATCTCTTTTACTTCTTCCACAATTGGAACACTAATATCTTCTGACACGGGTACTTCCTTTTTGCAATTGGTCCTTCCAACATTAAATTTGGCTCTCTGGAATCGCCCTCTTACCAACTGAGCAGGCTTGATTGTAGATGACTTATCTCCTTGGAAACTGGATTTCTCTCTATCAACCAAAGATGGAAAGTACCAAATTGAGTTAACAGATATTTAAAACAGGCATTTGTATGTTGATATGAAATTAATTCTTAAGAATTATTTCTTCTGCTTGCCTGCTTGTCAAATGTTAATTAGAAACTTTCCTTCAAAATAACTGAAAATAAACTGTATTTCTGCTTTTCCATGGGACTTTGGGGCCCAATGCCATTCACTGTATTTGTTATATTTTATTGTATATTCTTATTGTGTGAGCTACCAAGAATACTATGACTGTAGCAGGATAGTAGTTTGATAAATAAATCATTATTTTACAGCATGCTATGTGAATACAGGATATGATCATGTTAGGTGCTAAAAACAAGGTGAGTATTGTTGAAGAATAATTAATTATGAACACTTGCCTTCAGTATTTTATTCTGAAATAATAAAATATATTTTTTCTTCAGCTATTACCCTGGGGAAGATTAAATAAGGTAGTCCACCAAATAAAATACAACTACTCCCTGCTTGCCTTTCTCAAAGAGAAAGAAAATAGCTGAACCAACGAACTTCCAAAACTGAAAAGCAAATTTTAAATTTCCAAACTAGCATATGTGTAAGAATGTAAGAAATTAACAAATCCTAAAACTCTATCGGTCTGGTATATGATTCATATGTATAGTTCCATAGCCCCATCTCCTAAAATATGCCCCTTTTTCTGTATTCCTTCTCCATGAGTTTGTTTCTAATCGCTAAAGGGTTTCTATCACTTTCTATTCCATATCAGTGCTCCTGTAAATTGTTCATGAAGGTCAGAAAAGGAAAGAAAAAAAATCTGCACATGAAAACACATATCTTTAAAAAGTGTAAGTTCATAAAAGCAACATCTAATTATTTCAATTATTTATTTAGGTTTACTAGCATAGATCATAAAACAAAAGTCACATTTGAGAACATACCTGAGACGTAGATCGGAGCTATTCTGACAAGTACCAGGCACTAGAGAGTCTTTCTGAATTACTTTCTCGGAGTTTTGTAGTCTACTCTCCAAATTTTCATCAGATAAAATTTTATCGTTGATCTGAGTCTGAAAGTTAAAAGTTTCAATCTTAAACTGAGAAATAGTTTCAGCAGTGATATGCTGAATATCAAGGAATAATTGTGGCAACCCAGAAAGCCCATTTATATTGAATTCCAAACATTCAAGATTTCTATGTAAAATAACAATCCAAACTAAATTTTCTTTGACTTAATACCGTTGATGGAGTTTTGGTAGGTTCAGATTTTTGTAGTTCCAGATTTCCAGTGGTTGTTAATCCACTTCCTTCCAGGGATCTCTTTTCTTTCCTTCCAATTATTCCTCCTATGTTAGGTTTGGGTCTCTGGAACCTGCCTCTGAGAAATGGTATTGATCGAGTATCACTATGCTTGCTTTCTTCCTGTGACCTCTGTTTGCTAGAGGAAAATCAAAACGAGCAGACATGGCAATTAGCCAAAAGTATTACTGACAGAATTTCTAACAGATAATATCCATATGATCACTAAACAGGATAAGGAAATGTAAGGAAATGTATGTCCATTTTTGTATTGATTTTTAACTGGCATGCTGATATCTAATAGAATAGTAAATTTTATTTATTTTCTAGTCGTTATTGAACTTAATTCTCATCCAATCTTCAGTTTGGATTTAAACAAAGCACATGTAGTAGGGCTGATGCTTTGAAACTGCTTTAGAAAAAATGTTTTGGAATTTGTGGAAGCACAACATCTCATAAGCAATCTGACTCTGTTCAGATTTGGTACAACCATAAAAACATGCTACTCTTGTAAGTTACATTCAAATCAAACCAAAACAAACCTTTATTATGACCTTTGGACTAGAGAGCACAACAAGAAATATGCACAGTCCTGTAATTATTAATAAACTTTGAAATGTAATAAAATTACATGAAATAAGTTATTGTAATAACAGGAGTACAAATAACAATGGCAATCACCAAAATTTGTTCTAAACGTCCATTGTAGATAGGACAGATACGAGTGATGGCACAAAATCAGGCAACCTGGAAAGATGCATCAGAATCCTGGTCAGATAAAAGCAGCAACAGATAGACATTGTGCTCTCTACCAGGGAAGTTCTTTAAAATGGGATAAATGTATGTCTTCCTTCCTTCCCAAGAGAGCAACAAAGAGATTCCATAGAACCATCTCCATCTTGTGTTGTATTTATGTAACACCGCTGAAAACAGATGTTTTTATATTGCCCCCATAGAACTGTAGAGGTTAGTACATCCAACTTGGCCAAGGTGAAAGCCCACAAATTTTCAAAATTAGAATTGAAGAGAGATAAAATGATGGCACACACCCATTTGAGAAGAATCCATATACTGTAGGATTGGATAGTAGGCTTAAACATATGTGAAAATCAGTATCCCAGATATGTTATTTCTTGGCATTTTCAAGTCCTAAAGGACAAGACATTCCAAAGAAAGTCCTAAGCAGTGGAACTTTCTATTAGTTTTTGTTAGCCAGGTTAATTTAATAAGGTGTCTGAAAAATCAATTTCAACCAGAAATTAAGGAGAACTAAGCTCTGGCACTCACAGAAGCAAACCTGTCTCTAACCATAAAACACCATTCTTTGTGCATTATGGATCATATTGATTTTAATGAATTCACTACTTAGACAGAAGGCGGTGGGGAAGAGCAGTAAATAGCAAAAGTAACATCCCCTTTTTATATGCACATCATAGACATCACATACAAATATCAAAGGGGCATAACTTATTACACAGTGGTGCTTTTGTCTCTATATCTCTTTTTTTGTGACAACTTGGGCGTACCCATGGTTACTTCCAAAACTTTTGTGGCAAAAAGCCAATAAGGATAGATCATTTTCTATCTATGATTGCCTCACCCACTTATTTTAAATTGTAAAAACATTACCCATATCCAAATGAAGAAGTGCTGAAAATACTTTTTAGTAACATCATTGTGTTATTGCTATGCTGCCTCCAAGGTTCCAATAGCAGGAAAAAAATCAACAATCTTTTGACAGCTCACAGCATGTTCCTCCCCCCACCCCCACCCCACACCATTCCCTGTGGTCAACCCAAACATTTTAGCTACTTTTTTTTTAAATGTAAGGCTCTTGGATCAACTGTTAAACCAGTCAGAAACACACAAAAAAGTAGGGGTGGGGTTATGTAATGACTTACATTTTCCCTTTTAACCTTATCAATTTAACTCACCTTCAAAAAAAGGGTTAGGATTAGGGCTACAAGTAAGTTATAAGCCTTACAAAAGAAATTCATATCAAGAGTCTTAATAACCACAGTATCCTTACCCAACTAATTCATTTTTCTGGGTATCAGGTTCCAGTGAAATCTCATTTGATGCATCATTCTTAAGTCCTGGAAGATTCTGGAGAGACAAATGGGTTTCATTTGTTGCAACCTCCTCTTGAGCATTGGTAGTACATTCCTCTGAAGTTGATAAGGTTTTAGATTTTACTGCTTCCTAGAATATATCAAATTATTCAAGAATTAATGCATGATGCAAGCACTTAAAATTCTGAAATTGCAAAATAGTGCAACACACAAGAAACAAATTTCAGGAAAAGCAATTAGAAAATAATTTTCAGTTCTCCAGACCCTGACATATGTGACATTTGACATTAAAAAAACCCTAGCTGACACCAAAGTCATAGGTCGGTGGGACTTCGCACAGATCCATGTTGTGCACCAGTTTGTCCATCATCACCATTTTACAAAATGTTCTAGTTACCAGTTGGCTTCCAATTGCACTTCAAGAGGCTGTCATCTATAAAGCCCTTCATGAATTAGGGCCTAGTTACTAACAGAATTGCCATTCTTTGTTCATTTCTGATTTTCCTATGTGAACTGGCAGGATTGGCATGCTCTATGTCCAATCAACAAAGCAATCTATGCTATGGATCCTCAGAACTATGTGTCTTCTGTTGCTGGTTCTGATCTTTGGGACATTCTCTCCAAGGTTTATTATGTAAATTATTACATAATCCCAATCTGCTACCTTTTAAGAAAGCTTTTAAAAAACTGGCTCTTCTGAGCCAGGATACTTTGTGAAATGCACACACACACACATTACAAATCCATAAATTTAAATGCTCTTATGTATCCTTAAATTGTTCCAAATGGGCGGCTTAAAAATTTAAGAAAATAAATAAAACAAGTCACAGTAATTACAAGCAACAAAATACAAAGTTAATCTTACACTTAGATTAGAGGTGACACTACATTCACTTTCACTCTTTTCTGCAGTATCCAATTGGGGTTGTACTGTGTTTAACAATTCCTCTCTGTCTGATGCATTTTCTAAGTTCTTCTTACATCTTGATTGCAAACTCTCCAATGAATGCTCTATTTCAACAGTATTATCTTTTTTTTCTTCCTGAAGACTGGAATCTCTGATTAACGAAGGGGAAAAAAATCAACCTATGACTACTATAATTTAGAAAAACACAATTTTTGTGTTCATGGAGATTTTAGACTTTGACATTTTAAAAATTATAGAAATTAACATTTAGATAGGCGTGCCCACTATAATAATATCTAATTTATTAAAAAGAATTATGATGAGTTTCGGACAGACAAAAGTTGCAATTAATTTGTTAAGATTCTAATAAATCTACAAAATGTTTCTATGCAGCTTGCAACTAATACTGAGAAGACTCTGGAGGCAAAACACTGCTAATGCATATTTGGTTAAAAAAATGTCCAACTTGAAACTTAGAATTGCATGCCACTTTCATAAACTTTGGGATTCAGCTTTTGATTCAAAGTTACATCAAACTGTACTGTTGAATGCAACAAAAATGAGTAATTGTTATATTTGTAATTGGAGAATGAACAAATTTCTTAATATTAAATATAAATCAAATTTAGTTTTCATTCTGACAGATTCCAGTACTTATTACTGATCCTCTGTAACACTTTTAGACTGTCTCAATAAGCCATCCAAAGTTAACTATAGCCTTCAGATGACAAAAAACAATGTGCTGTTCAGGTAAGTCTAGAGGAACTCCTGTCTTGAAGCTTCTGCTACTTAGAATAACATTTATCCTAGCTTAGAAATATAATTGGATTTGAATTGGTATAGGAGGGGTCCTAAACTCCCTTTGTTGCAGGAATAGGGAATTGTTAGTAATTTTATCCAATCTGAATCTTTTAGTACCTGAAAGATTATGTAGAGCATTTCCATTATTTAAGCTCATCATTAGACACTATATAGCCAACATGGATAAATAATTCATGCACTATAACAAGGGCAGGCCTCCTTTTTTGTTGGGTTGCAATTCCCATTTACCATTATGTAAGGTTGATGGGAGCTGAAATACAACATTGAGAGTGTTAAGAACTGAGAATCACAAGTGGGAACCAGCAGGTCCTGCTCTAGAAAGAAGTATTACGTAATTGTATCACAGCTGTATCCTAACGCCCTTAAGAGCCCAGTGATGTATCCATTAACTCAGTAGGGTAGGAAGAAAATACCAAGAAATTAAACTGCAGCAGAATCGGTGGTAAAATCAAGATGGCCAGTGCAAATAAAATGGTAGAATCCAGGCCTCTTTTATAAGTAGGCAATACTGCACACATTAAAAAGGGGCAGGCTTTTGATTGCATGATTGCACCTATCGTTAACTGTTTTGACTTCCCTGCTGTAGATTCCTCTGTGCTAGCATAGATAATATACAAAATATGCCTACAGTTTCTGCACTGCGATGGATGATCCACTGTTGGGTTAAAGTTATTTTCTTAAGGCAATGAAACATGTAGCTAGCTGAGTCATGTAGTCTTCCACAAAATTAAGCCAAAGACAGGATAACGATTGATGTATGTAGAGGTCTGAGCCTCAGTATGAAGCTGACACAGAGAGCCCCTAGTTCCCAGCCCTGTGCTATATATAGGCTATATCATAAAGACAGGTATTATGCATTTCCCTATGAAAAAGGGGTTTTATGTGTTTGTTCTCCATTTTTAAAATAAAATACGCCTACCTGCTGGCAGGATTTACCACATCCTTTGTAATATCAAGTGACAAAGAGGCATTTTGTAGTGTATAACTTTCAGACTTCTTCACAGGAGATTGATTTGAATGTGCTCCACCTACTTTCTCATGGCTGACAACTGTTCTTTTTTCTAATGCCTCACACTGTGGTGTGTCAGCTTCATGAGCTGTTGCATCCTAGAAAAAGATTAAATCTCTGAGGTATAATAGTTTACAGAGAAAAATGATCAGCTAGAATAAGGCTAGTTTGCCCAGAGGAGAATGCGAAGCTTTTAAAAGTCATTAATTCACATATTAGATAATACAAGTACTGTATTTTATTTTTTTTAAAGGACAATGAAATAGCAACAAAAGAAAAACTCTTTATCAGAGGTGTTCAGATTATTGTTGTACGGAACTGCTGTTCTTCTATTATGAATTTAATGCAGTTCAAAAACATATAGCACAGCCATAGTAATGCTGACGTAAGAGAAAGAAATCCAACATATACGAATTAAGTTTTTATATCCACTGCAAAAGTAGAGAGTAGGATTGTCAGCGTTTATAAAGGCCACCTTCTATTCAGTTTCCTGAATCCTGTTCCCCAGGATTCTAAATTCCAGATTGTAGTAATCAAGAGTTGGGCCAATCTATAGGAGTTGCTTTTAGTATATCAGTATATGCTTCACAAACAGGTAGTCCTTGACTTATAACCATTCATTTAGTGACCATTTGAAGTCACAATGGCACTGAAAAAAGTGACCTATGACTGTTTTTCACACTTATGAACACTGCTGCCAGAATGGGACAATTCACCATGCTCAATTCACCACAGCCAACTCACTGAGACCAATTTGCCACAACTTGCCACAGGAGAACTGAACAAATACAAAAGTTAAATTAATTTCAATGTAACCATGGCCAATAATAATAAAAGAAATCAATCCAGAAATACAAGAGTTACAATAATGTGTTATTGCCAATAAAAGTAATTGAATAAAATGATTAATACAGTGTTGAATTGTCCTGTGGCAATTGTCCCACAGTGAGTTGGCCACGGCAAATTAGCCATGATGTGTTGGCTGTGGCAAGTTGTCTGGAGCTTTGCAGCATCCCCCTGGTCACACGACCGGAATTGGAGCACTTGCAACTGGCATCTATTTATGACAGTTGTACTGTCCCGGGATAATTGTGATCACTGTATTTCTAGCCATCCTAGCTGACTTCCCACAAGCAAAGTCAATGGGGGAACCCAGATTTGCTTAATGACTGCATGATTCATCTAACACCAGCACCAATTCACTTAACAACTATGGCAAAAAGGTTGTAAAATGGGGCAAAACTCATTTAACAACTGCCTTGCTTAACAATGGAAAAAATTGGTGCAATTGTGGTCGTAAGCCAAGGACTACCTGTAATAGGTACGTAAGTAGAACAGATTGACTTATTAGAGTAGACTAAACTATCATTATATAGCACACGCCTTAAATACAGAGAAACCATACCATGGTTTAAGAAGAAATTCAAATTAATTCAGTGAAGGCACTGGTATCTTAAACAATACATATTTCACAGAAGGAAATTTGTATAGATTGGTACCTAATTCATTCAGTCTTTGACATTTAGTTATTGTTTTACATACAACATACTTACGATGGTATTCTTATTTAGAAGTTGACAATCATTACATTCAGTTGGCATCACAGTCTTTTCAGAGATTACTGCTTCACTTGCTAATTCAGTCCCTGCTTTGCTTGGATTTTTTTCCGCCTCAGTGCTTCTTCCAGGTAGTTCTTGCCTTCTAGCAACTCTTCCTAAATTCGGTTTTGGTCTCTGAAATCGTCCCCTTGCTAATGGTGCAGGTTTGAGAACAGTTTGCTTGATACTTTCTTGTGAGGTAGATTGGTTCTTATTCCTAAAAAAATCAACCATGAAAAGGCAATGATAAAATGAAGTAATTCCTAAAGATGGCAATCATTTCTACTCCTATTATTATTAGTTAATAAGGAAGAAAATCCTTGCACAAATTCTGAGTTCTTCTCCTCATACTTACGCAGATTCTGCATCCAAGCCCTGGCAATGTGTTTCAGTGTTCTCAGCTGTGATGATGCTGGGTGCATCACTCTGCTCAATTTCCTGAGAATTAATCATTAAAAAATGAACGGCTGTACCTTTTCAAAACAAATCACTCCCATCATATAAAATTTAGAAACACTTTATTTTACCAGATTTCAAGTTTATATTTTAATTAGCTGGCTTCTTAAGAATATTAATTTTCGCTATCTCAAATACATGTCATACATTTTAGAAAAATGACTAGTGATCATTCACAAAGCAAATAAACATGACACTGGCAGCTGAGACTTTTCAACACATTCCATAACTTTCTATTCCTCATGTTTATTACTATTCTTGCCAAAAGAAAGAACTAAATGGCAAGGAGGACTTAAAAATGTACAGAAAGTAAAAATATTAACCAACGTATTTTTATTATTATACATCTTTCCTTCCCAAAAGAAATTGAAAATATATTCCAGACCTTATCTAGACACTGGTTATTTATACAGTTTCTATTATGTTTTTCTTAATGAGCCAGATTGTAGAAGCAGGATTATGTAAAATATATTTCTTCTCTTTTAAAGAAATAAAGAATTTTACAAAACCTCTAAAAAACAATTTAGAAAACATGCTGTGTCCCTTTTTAGTCCTGTTACTGTACTGTACATCATTCCAGAGAAAATAATTGCAATAATTATTTCTGTTTTAGTGACACATCCTGGAAGACCTAACTCAACATTCACGTACATTCAAGCAAAAACTGTTGATTACCATACTCTACACTGATTCAAATTTAACTGTACATTTCTGTGCAGTGTGCTATGAAATGAGATGGTGGGTTATAAAATATTTTTATTCAAGAGAGATAATTGAAAGCTTTCAGTTCCTCAGTAACACATATAAATCCAAACTAATGAATACCTTCTCGCCTGCACTATCAGATCCAGACTTCTTGAGTTCGCCTTGAGCAGATGCTTCTTTTCTGCCAGACACTTTACCAATATTAGGTTTAGGTTTCGTCCATCGACCTCTCACTTCCATCTTTCCCACAAAAGCTTTTTGACTCTCTCTACAGAAAAAAAGAGTAAAAAAATCTTGGTTTGAAACCTAGAGTGATTTAGGCGAAATGGAACATTTAGATAAATCATCATCAATCAATTTCAAAAGGCAGTGTTACTTAGAATAGCTTACATCTTGCAACAATATCTGTCAGGTTTCGATGCTATCTCAAAATAAATGAATTTCCAAACTGCCAATCTTTGAGGAAATTTTCTCTTTATTGAGCATAGTGATCTGTCCCTGGCTCTTTCGCGGTCAGTACTGACCTTTGCCCCCCAATCCCTCCCTTTCCGATCCCCAATTCTCTGCATCTCATTGGCTATCTTCCAAGCCACTTTCCTCATCCCTTCTTCGTCAGATCACAGGAATGTCTCCCCCTCCCATCTCCCAGGAGACAGAATCTTCAAAGGACTTAAGTAGGTAAAAGTTCAAGCTTCTCCTCTCCTTATATATGTCAGTACTGGGATGCTGACAATATCTTTACATCAAACATCTGCCTAACCTAAGCCCTTGGTAAGGACTCAACAGGTAGATAAAAATGCCAAATCTAATCTAAATGCTAATTGCTGACTGTGCAACAAACCCTAATAAATTACTTACTCTATTACTTTTATGATGTCACTGCTTGCATTGCATGTTTCCTCTGTAGCAGATCTAGAAATGGAAGCAGTTTTATTTTCTACAAGTGACTCAGAAGAAACTTTAACAATTAATGGGTTAGATGCTACAGGTTCTATTTTTTCAGATGCTCCTCTTAAGTCTGATTCAAAGTTCTGCAGCTGCGCCTCCTGTGTGGGCTTTTCAGGAATTGCCCTATCTGTTTCCCTGCAAATAAATTGGAAATATCCATTTTGCACGTAAAACAGGATAAAAATTTTAGGATTTAAAAAAAAGGCATTAGGAAAGTCCCTACATACACATTTTTCTTCAAATAACTGATCCCACTCTTTTGCCATACCACAAATTGCCCTAATTCTTAAACTGTCATATAGAAAACAAAGCACTTCAAAGTTGTTTGGAAGCCATTCTACCCCACTTCATGTTGGGGAAAAGTTCTCATTTGGTTCTGGGAGGAAGAACAACTTTTACTCACATGATTTCTTCACTACATTTTTGTGATGCCACGTTCTGATTTTTATCCAGTTTATCTCTTATAGGTACTTCATTCTGCAAAGCAATCAAAGTAGCATGATCTCATTATGAAATACACAATTGATTTATTTATATCTTGCATTTAACGATCAATTTTGATTCATCAACCACAAGGATTCATACCCTAACATACACTAAATAACAAATGAACAAGTATGATGCAATGTATGAACCAGGTCTATGTATGAAAAAAAGAGTAAAAAGAAAAATAAAAGGTTGAAAGTGAAATAATGCCAGAAATAACTGGAGGATGTACTATTAAATTAGCAATGGGATGTTTTTAATCAATCCTAGTCCAATCATATTGCAGCCAATAATACCAAAAATTTGGCAATATACCTATACAGTAAATGCAGGTTCAGAGCTTTCCCACTTTCTACCTCTGAACACAAAAAGCCCTTGTCAGAACCAATATCAATATTCAAATATTTGGGCTCACTGACTTTGCTGGAATGGAGCACAAGTCTTTAAAAATGACATATTTGTAGTATAGATTTAATATAGATATTCCTCAAATAAATTGAATTAGCAAGCTTTAACAGAGAAAAGTTAACAAATATTTTACCTGGACTTCAGTGGACCTTTCAAAATCTTCTATATTTTCTTTTGGAGTCATTTGAGACATCGAATGCTGCTCAACATGGTGCTCAGAAGTAACTGATGAAACATCCTCTTGTTCTGGTTTACTTTTTTGAATATTGAAAATATTATAATATGGACGCAATATATATTTTTCCTTTTTTTTCTCTCTAACTGATGAAGAACTAATGGCATTTTTCTCTTCATATAATGTGTAAGCTACGAAACAGACTTATCTTAAAAATTATACAAGCAAGCAAAGTGACACTATATTGTTAAGTGAGTGATACTCCCATTTTTAAGTCCTTACTAATGTACAAACCAGTTCTATATATTCATAGTAACAATGGGGGAAAAAAAGTCATTAATTTTCATAGTACAGGTAAAAATCAAAACTCACAGAGAAAAAACCTTTACCTAATATACTCAGACTGTCAAAGTTAGAGAAAAAGTTATCAGAGGAAAATTTATTCGTAGTGCACAATAGTCAATTCATCATTTATTAGAGGCACAGATTCCTCCTCATCCAAATAAAAAGTAGTTTTCAACATCCCTAAATTCTAGCAAGATTGAAGTTCATATATAGCTTCATCAACAACATGCTGAAAACAGCATAATTTACCGAACTAAATCTGAATATATTGTTGTTTCTTAAATTACACAAGAAACTTTAAAATTAAGCCACACAGGAGAGAGTCTTATAAAGTTATAAAAATGTGCTGTACTTTGCAAGACTGTTTTGATACAGTATAAAATGTATATATAATTTATACCTATGGTTTTTTCCCGCTTCTTCATTTACTCTGATACAGCATGATGATTCTTCTTTATCCATGATAAGAGTTTCATCAGGGATTGTTCTGTTTGGGACTTCCAGTTCATCACCAACTTCCCGAATGCCACTTATCTCATCATTAGACGATATATTTTTCCCTAAGAACAGATTGTCATGCATTAAAAATCCTTCGAACTGGCCATAACTATTAAACCTATCCATAATTAAATAGAAGCTGAGCCCACAGTTATATTCACAGTACCGTAACCATTTTCTCTAAATGAAATTGAAGACTGCTTTGTTGTGTATTGTCCTGCCTCCTCACATAACACTTTATACAAAAAACAATCAATGACATTATGGTTTGTACTGTAGGCGAATCAAGCCATAGATGTTTAGTTCCCTCCAGTACAAAACCAAAACTCTCTGCTTGTGCCAGGCTCTTCCAATGTAAATAAACTAAGTCTCAATGGAATGTTTATCGTATTGTTCCGTTTGTTATTTTCCTTTTTTTTCCCCACAAGTAATGGGTTGGATTTGGTATGAATCATCTTCCAGATAAAAGTAAGAGAGTTAATACTGATGGCAGAAGAGAACATTTCCCTCTCATGCCTTCTTCCCAAATATTTATGAGACTTCTGGAGGGCCTGTACACCACAAAGGGAAAATGGCACCCGGGATGGTGTACAAAAATAGGGGAGAAGGAAATAATTAGGTGATTTACACTAATGGCAGCATTCCAAGTAAAAATCTGTCCAGGAAGGATTTGTACCAGTGGAATAAAAGGTAAATTGAATTAAAGTTCAGAAATTAGCAAAATCAAGACATAATATCTCAGTGGTATAACAATAGCATTTCAAAAGCTTACTTTTCTTTTTAGTCATTTTTTCTTCCATCATTTCTGTTGGAATATTTCTTTCTTCAAGAAGATTGTCTGTCTCTTGTTCAGAATCTTTTTTCTTTCTTTTCCTTTTCTTTTTGGTCACTGCTGATTCAATAACTGTTTGCTCTTTTGCCTGTTCCAAAATGCTAGGAGATTCTTCATTCTCCTTTTCAGCTGTTTCAGCATCTACTTCTATTTCCATGTCAGAACTTCTACTATCCTGATGTTCATCCGGACCATGGTTGGACTGTCCATTTACAACTTTATCTATCAAAGTATACAATATTAAGCAAAGGTATTCCAAATAATGAAAAATAAACTTGTTCAAACAGCATGGACAATATGGAGACATTCCATTTGCTGCTCCTTATAAACTCACAGCATCTTCTGCTCTCCTAATGTTGGTCACAAAATTGCTAATTGTTTTAGTTATACAGAAATGTCCTTCATTTTTCTCAAGGTTATATATCTCTATAGTACTAAAACTCTTTGTGTGTTTGATACTTTGCAATCTTCAGTTGGGTAAAACATTGCATCATAGAACAAAACTTTGTCAACAAAGATTCCCCAAATGGACTAACTTACTGAATGCCAGAACTCATCACTCTGGAGTTAATTAAATTTGGGGATTTTTTTTTTTTTGCCACTTTATCACTACCACCATGCTGTCAGTATCAGTCAACTGATCCTCATTCTCAACATTCCCTGATAGTTTCCCACAATCTGTCTCATATGAGGGAGGGACTTATATAATTGTTGACACTCCTGCGCTCCTTGCCATCTCCTTATTAGCAAAAGTTTTGCCTGGGGGAAAATTGCAGGAAGAAAGACAATGAAGAAATCATCCAGTCCCTCTGCACTTGTACCGTGCCAACCATTCATTTACTCCCTTCTCCACCTGGCAGCAGCTAATTACCTGCCTGCTGGGAAAGGAAAGGAAAAAGGAGGGAGGGGAGGAGAAATGGAAGGAAGGAAGGTTTTGACACTGGCTGCCAGGAAATCAAAAGTCATTCCCACTTCCACTGATATTTTTGCCCATCCGTGATCAATCTGTTTTTCTGATATTCTGAAGAGAATATCTTTGAAATGATAACCAAGGTCACAGGTTGTCTGGTATTATATACAAAATATTTCATCAAAAATTATCAGGATCATTGAAGTAGAATCAAAGTATTCTGCTTTGATCAATAAACATGCAATTGCCAAGAATCAAGACCGACTCAAAGGTATACAGGCACACAAAAATCAAGTATGTTCTATGTTCAAGTGTCCTACAACTACTGTCCTTGTATAGAAAGAACAGAATGCCACATGGCAGAGGAGCTATTCATGACTTTGCCAAGAATTTTAAGTATTATTAAAATTACCTTTTCGCTTTTTCTGAGATCTTGGGGAATTTCTCTTATTGGAATTTTTTTCTTTTTGTTGCTGACTTGCAGCATCTTTATCTTTCTTCTTCCTCTCATTTTCCAGGACCTTCTCAAGGAGTTTCGTAAAAAAACTGAAGTCAAAGGGCCTTTTTTCTTCTGTCCAAAAGAGAAATGATGTGATAAAGTTACTGAACACAATATATACTTTATTAAATGGAATAAGTGAAGTAGCTATATCATTAACTTTAGTTCTGTTTATTAAAATAAGTCTTTGCTTATTTAAAAAAATAATGTAAAATGAATGTGTAATTTTTAATGTGTCAGGATTTAGAGAACATTTGAACTATTTAAAAAAAATTTTTTTTAAATTTAATTTAAAATTAAAACATTTTGTAAATATTACAGTTAAGGAAGATTGTACGGTAGTACTTAGATGCATATCTGTCTGAGAAATGTTAAAGGTTAAATCCAATGGTACATTGGAGGCCATTCCTGCTAATAGACTAGAAAAAAATGGTCTCATTATCATCCTGGAGTCCTCATACTACAAAGTCAAGGGTCTGATTTTGAGGGAACATGAAAAATTGCAACAAGAATAAAAAAAATTCCCCCTCAATGATCAGAGTTCTACTCACACTATATTCATTAATTTCAAGAAATAAAATAAGCCCTTCACACTGAGATTCATACTGTGAAGATGCAGTCCAATGAATTTTTACTAACGCACATATGTTTTCAAAGGAGAAAAATAGCCTATACCAATACTTACTAAATGCTTTATCTATTCTCCATCCATTGACTTTTTCTTCCCGCTTAAATTTATTCTGAAAACAGAACGTTGTAACATGATAATTACTTTATTGAGAAATAATATTGGTTTAAATCCATACTTAATCCTACTCAGAGAATGAAAGGAGAGGGTTGCATGTTTTTATTCTCATATGTTTCCTAGGTAAGAGACAGAATTTTTAGTATCCATAAAGCAAGTTTACCTTTAAGAAAAGCAAAGTTAATGCTCTGAATTCATATCAGAAAAAAACTCTATGATTAAAACTGCAATCTAATGAAACATATTGATAAATAGACACTAGTCCTATTAGAAATAGTACTAATAATAATAATGACGATAGTATGATAAGTAAAAATAAGAAGCCTAAAAACAGAACATGAACTAATTAATCTACATCAAAAGACTGCCTGGCAAAAAATTTTTGGGAAAAAATACATAAATCACTAGAAAAGATGATTGGATAGCATGTAGATTTTAAACCTGAACTATTTTTATTAGGTATAATATCAGGTAAACTTGATAAGAAAAGTATGTATTTAATATTGCACAACTTGACAGCAGCGAGGATTGTATTTGTGTAATGCTGGAAAAATGAAGAAACACCACGAGATGAAGAAATAATTAAGAAAATACTAGAGTGTGCAGAAATTGACAGACTGACATTAAAAATGAAACAGAAAGAAGATACAGAATATTATCAAACATGGAATCTATTTTATCAGTGGTTGGAAAAAAGGAGTGGAGATTAAAAATGTAATATGTATTGTTAAGCAAATTAAATATCCAGACAACATGTTTATTAAGCACTAAGAAATGTAATTAATAAAAAAAAAGGATACCTGGTACATTCTCTGAGATACCATAAAATATTAAATACACAAGCTAAAGAATATCTTGTTGATCCTATTAATTTTTTTCTTGAAAATGTTTACCTTGATTTCTGTTCTTGCTCTGTGAGGAAAAAGCTGACTAATCATCGAAAAGTCAGTTCCTACCATACTTATGGCTAAGAAAAACATGTCTGTTTCTGTAATTTAAAAAAAGATAAAATATGATTAAAGCAATTGTCATTTTAACATATCAGTGTCAATCTTAAATAAACAGATTATAGATTAATCTAAACATCAAAGTATCATTTTTTCATAATAATCAAAAATGTTCTTTATTTCACACTGGGAAACTATGTGATCTGCCTTACTTAGAACTTCATCCAGTGTCTGGCTGTCACTTTCACTTTCACCTTTACTACAGAAAAGGTGACATATCCAGGCGTCTGAGGCTTTTTTGCATACAAAGTAAATAACATAGTGTTGAATTATCTCCTATTTTTAAGCCCCTACTCATATCTGTTACATGAACTGTACATTTTAGTAAGCGTTGAAGAGGCCCGTACTTTGGTCATTTCTCAAGGTTTCAGTTAATTGAAGAATAACTGAACTTTTAAAATATTCTAAACACAAAGGATTTTTTTAAATTATTCACTTCACATGTTCATCTTTGCAAATGAACTATATACCTCCAAATTCACCAACTAGAGCTGGAAAGTCACACACTAATCCTAATATTGATCTATGAAAAAATTGCCCGATTGTTTACCATGTGTAAATCACCTGAATTATTTCAAGAAGCATTATTTCTAATTCCGTATAACTCATTAAAAATACAGGAAATTGCCAGTCTGAGATACTGAGGAGTCTTTGGTGCTCTCTGAACTTGGTTGTTTGCTTGCAGGCATTTTTTTTGTCCAGCTACATTACAATATTAATGCTAGTGAATATGGAGTTTGCTCCCTGTTTATATTCAGAAGCTTGCCTGCCAATATTCATGTGGGTATGGTTATCTTCTTGGTAGTTCCTAGGGTATAGTTTCTGGATGCTATATTGCAGTTTCTCCTATAAGTGGTGATTCCATGGGTGTGCCTCTGATTTGTCAATATACAGCATCAATCAGACTGAAAGTAGGCAGTGATGCAGAGATTGATGAGGTCAATGATTCCAGGTGTTTCAATGTAGGTCAAGTGGTTGTATTGGGCAATTCCTGGAAACTTGGCATTCAGACAAATCAGTCATCAATATGTATCAATAAGACATATGTACACACCATTCAAAAGAGACAAAATATAAGAAGGAAACAAAAAAGACAAGAAGACATCCCCTCCAGGAGCCAATATCCATATAAGCAGGGACTGATACCAGACAACAATCAAAATAAATGCCCTAATCAAGGAACTACCACTGAGAAAAATCACACACCCAGCAACATTGATAGAGCAAGCTATTATATTTAAAGAGGAAGAAAATTCCTAAGTTAATAGTACTGATGATGTTACCTACTTGGGTAATGAAATGTCTGCAGAATAGCAACCAAAGTCAGACAGCACCAACTCCAAAATTCAAACCTTAGCTACATATATATTCTTCTATTGATATCTGATTTTTTGGCAGTAAATATAATTCATATATATTCTTGCAATCTATAACTATCTATTAAACTGCATATATCTTTCACTGACACACACTGAAAGATGCATATTATATACTTAATATGCTTCTGTGCCTATAGCACTAAATTATACATACCTTTTTCTGACCATGGTCTAGTATAATAGCTTTTCCTGAAGCTTGAATATGTTGTTGTGGAACCACGCTCAAAGATGGGATCATTTTCTTCCACTACACACTGTCCTTTTGTCCTTAAAACCTCTACAGTTAAACTAAATAGGAACAACAAAAAGAAAATAATTATATAAAAAATGCCTTAAGAAGCATTATAATCTTAGGAACAATTGTCTTACTGATAATGGAGAAAATTTGCGACCTGTTTTGAAATACAGGTTGTCCTCAACTTACAATAGATCATTTAGTGACCGTTCAAAGTTACAACAGCACTGAAAAAAGTGATTTACAGCCATTTCTCACACTTATGACCATTGTAGCCATCCCCATGGTCATGTGATTTACATTTGGATGCTGCTTCATATTTATGATGGCTGCAGTGTCCTGGGGTCATGTGATCCCCTTTTGCAACCTCCTGACAAGCAAAGTCAATGGGGAAGCCAGATTCACTTAACAATTGCAGTGATTCACTTAACTAATGTAGCAAGAAAAGTCGTAAAATGGGGCAAACCTCACTTAACACATTTTTCACTTAACAACATAAATTTTGGGCTCAATTGTGGTTATAAGTCGAGGACTACCTATACAGCAAAATATATAAATGTCCAAGAAAGACTGAGAAATTGATGAAATATTTTTTTTGCCCTCAGTATTGCTAAAGCAGCTCTTTAATATTTAGTTTCACTTTACATTATCTTTCCATGATGAATAAATAGATGATTATGAAACTCTCCCTCCAGACACAGGATAATGATTACATGTATAAGAAATATTTTTTGGGAGAAATACATAATTATCCTATTGAACATCTTTCCAAATTAAGTACCAAAACTCCAATGGGATTTACAAAATAAGTCACAGGATATAAATCTTAAAAAGAAAAGCAGAAAAAGGGGATATTTTAAAGGCAGGAATTAATATCTGGTTTTATTTATACACAGTCAGTCCTAATGAGGGAAGTCTTATTTCAAGTACCAAAATATCTTCACCAATATTAAGCACTTCTATAAATGGGCACCGATTTTATAACACAAATTGACTGATAGCAAAACCTAACCTTTCTTCATCCAGAATAATTGAGCCATCTTCTGCAACTTTCACTCGAGGGACTAAAAGAGAGCCATCATCTTCCCCTCCTCCTCCTCCTCCTCCCTGTTCTTCATCATCATCGTCTTCATTTTCATCTTCATGATCAGCAACTATTCTTTCTTCAGGCCTGAAATTTGGGGAGTAACAGTTCAAATAGCACTAAGCTCTTTTCATATTTACTTTTCAAAAAAAATATATCTTTACAAGAATCATTACATCTATCTCATTTTTTTAGCTGGAGTATAACTTTCCTTGGGGTGTATGTTCATATTCTTTATCCTAACTAACACACCTATACCTAAAAGATTGCAGCAGAACCTTACTTAATAATTGCATATTTATACAAACATAAATTTAATACTACCAGCTATAAATTATGGCCTAGGCACTGGATATGAGAACGGGTGATGGGTTTTATTCTTTAGCTGACCACCTCTTGATTGCAAATGTTTCTTTCCCCCATTAAACATAGTATGGAATTATTTATGCCTTAATCCTCAGGTACTTCTCTAACACAGCACTGAAAATCAGCACTTAAACGTTAGGTTAGGAATGCTACCTCAGAATTAAATTAAACTTGCTTAAATTACACTTTATAAAAATAATGGTTACATGCTTACAGTAGCAAAATAATAAGATGAGGAAGGAGTTTTATGTATATTTGCCATCTTAATATAAAGTAATAAAGGCAAAGAAAGAAAGATGGAGAGAGGGAGGAGAGAGAGAGAGAGGGAGAGAGAAAGAAAGAAAGAAAGAAAGAAAGAAAGAAAGAAAGAAAGAAAGAAAGAAAGAAAGAAAGAAAGAAAAAGAAGGAAGGAAGGAAGGAAGGAAGGAAGGAAGGAAGGAAGGAAGGAAGGAAGGAAGGAACAAGCAAAAGGAAGGGAGATTATAGAGCTGAGCATGCCCCTGATTTTTAATTATAATAAAACCAGGATTTCATCAAAAGGATAACATAATTAATCTGCAACTGGTTATTAGGATTATGTTTTAAACCAATAATTTAATTTCAGCAATATTAAGCAAACACATTTTTTATTTTTTACAAATGTATTACTGATCGTACATTTCATTAATACTATTGCAAAAAAGAAATAAATTACTCTTTTGCTTGGGTCATTGTAGAAGTCTTTTCTGTTTTCTTCTCTTCAATGAATGACGACCTATTAAATATTGAAAAGTGCATACTTAATTATTCATTTAATCCAGCAAAATTCTAAATTTCATAGTGCATAGTCCAAATGCAATTAAATTGTGTATTCAACTGTGCTAATTGCTAGCATGCTACAGTATACATTTTTACACACAAAAATTGAATTTAATTTATTCATGTAAAGTTTAGTAAGATTGAACTAAGGTAAATCTGCATGGTTTCTCAATTAGTGAATCAAGATAATAAAGCACAACTATCACTTCAGATTTCACAATATAACAATAATGTCCTGAAAACAACAGATAACAAGATGATTTAAATCCACTTATTTAGAAATGCCAAATTTTCAACAAAGAATAAAAAACAAATTATGCAAATGTTTTATACATACCAAAACCAAAAATGTGTCATTGATTTCAATAAATCTTGCCCTGTAACAATTTGATAAAGTTCCTAGACACATTTTATTATATTGCTACTCATTTGGCTAGAATACAGATGCAGTTTTATAGAAACTAACATATATACATATTAGTAATTTATACTGTAGAAAAACATCTAGAAGCCAATATTTCATAAGTAAAAGACTACTAGACTTAATGTCTCAGATGTTTAGTGCTATATGCCTGGGAGCCCAAGTTAACAAAACTGTTGTTAAGATAAAAGAATGAGTGAGAAACCATATAAGGCTCCCTAAGATCTTTAGAGGATACAGAGCATATAGATCCAATGAATTAATAAAAACAATTTGTACCAACATGACAAAAGAATATATGCACTTACTTCATAGGATTATTTTCAGGCAAATAATAAATAAAATCTCTCATAGTCATTTTGGAGCGATCTTCCGGCATATTTTTTTCGATTATAGGATATTTAAATTTCCGTTGTTTCTAGAAAGATAAATTAATAGTTTTATCGTTCCATAGATTTTTATTTAAATCTTGTTTCAAATTTTATCATTTGTATATATTTAAGAGTTTTCTACTTGTCATATTCAGTTGCTAGCTTGTTTTATTTTATTTTTACTTTTTTGCTGGTGTAACTTTATCTATTATTTTAATTATTTTAATACATTTTATAATGTTGAGACAGAAGCAGAAAAACACAATATAATTTTAAATTTTAAAAATGTATGTGAATGTATAATGAAACCATAACTAATTACCATTACATGAAAATTTACCATACAATTTACGCTACCATATTCAAACACCAATACACCTTCTGCACCCCCTCACCTAATTTAGATGGAAGACAGAATTAGAATGTGTAAGATCGACCAATTGGTCACAGCCTACTGATCACACATTGACTTAAATCCCCGTTATTTACCAGAAGCATCAGACAGAAATTAAGAAGCATTGGAGAGCTTAGCTGGCAGCTTAATATATTTCAGATGTTTAGAATTAGAACCCTCAGAGTTTTTGCTACTGACCATGACAGCCAGAGCTCATGGCAGAAATTGAAATCCAAAACCAAGTGTCTACCTAGAATAGCTTGGTATAGTACAAGCTGCCAAAGATCTCGCTAGTTTACAGTGATACTTTCTGTAATACTTCCATATTGTAACAAGAGATTCTTCACTTCTCACAAGTGAAGACTGCCTTAGTTCAACAGTAGGGCTTAAGATCTACATGCAAGAGGTCACAGGATGAAATCTATTATTTCCAGATAATGATTAAAAAAATCTTCTCTCTGTAAGACCTGGTTAAAGACAGATCATCATGGAGAAGATCTACCCATGGTCGGTAGGAGTCAACAACGACTTGGTGCCTAATCACTCTCTAGAATTAAGAAATGTTGCCATTCAGTACTGAAAAAATATCAGGCTGGAAAAATCAATGATCTGATTCACTATAGGATATTTCATCCCAAAAAACAAGTTAGAACTCTTTCTATTTCCTTCCCTGATAATTTCAGATTAAAATTATAAAAATACTGTACTTTCTCTTTATTCAATTCTTCTTTCAGCATCTTCCTTAGCTTCTGAGTTTTGATAATTTTCACACGATCTGAACAAATCTTTTTCTTATCTGTTGAAGCAGATTTTGTCTGCGTTGTTTCCTCTTCCATCAATGTTTCCTGGGTGGGTCTTTCTTTGAGGGGCGAGCTTATGTTCTTCGGAAGGGCTTCATCACTTCTTTGAGCTGGCATACACAGGCTGGGTTCTTTACTAGCAGATTTTTTAAATGGAGAGAACTGTGGCACTTGAGGAGCAGAAGTTTTCTTTTCAGGCAATATGGAAGACTTGGGAGAATTTTCCACATCAATCTTTTCAGGTAAAGATGTTTCTTTTTGAAACAGAGAGTTACTAAAAGCAGGAGAGTGAGATCCTTGTTTTTGAGAGCATTTTGATGACGAATCAACAGTGGGAGGAGGTGGAGGTACAATTTTTGGTTTTATAAGATTAGGCATAGTGGATATCCGTTTTCTTCTCTGTGGAAATCCTTCGGCATTTTTCCTGCAGTCTCCATCTCCACTTTTATCACTAGTCTTTTCATTTCTGGAAAATTAAGAGAAATATTAGCTAATAGAATAGAATAACATAATGACAGAATTTTTTTGAAAGGTAGTTCAGTAATTACTATGTTTCTCTGAAGATAAAACCTAACTGGAAAATAAACCCTAGCATGATTTTTCAGGATGCTTGTAATGTAAGCCCTACCTTCAAAATAAGCCCCCGTTAAGATCGTCAGCCAGACGAACGCATTTACCATATTTCTTCAAAAAATAAGACCTAACCGGAAAATAAGCCATAATGCATCTTTTGGAGCAAAAATTAATATAAGACCTGGTCTTATTTTTGGGGAAATATGGGTATGCCATAGTTTATATAAATAATTATACTATATTATAGTTAATTCTTATTAACTATATTAATTCTTAATCTAAGAGCAACACTGATGCTCTTAGATTAAACTTGAGACCTAAACAAATATATTAGGACTCTATAGCAAAATGAATATAGATCAATAAATAAATTTCCCAGAAACACAAGTTTACAGGTAGTTCTCGACGTACAACAGTTCATTTAGTGACAGTTCAAAGTTACAACAGCAACTTTGAAAAAGTGACGACCATTTTTCAGACTTGTGACCATTACAGCATTCTCACAGACACATGATCAAAATTCAGATGCTTGGCAACTGACTCATATTTATGACAGTTGCAGTATCCCAGCATCATGTGCTCACCTTTTCTAACCTTCTGACAAGCAAATTCAATGGGGAAGCCAGATTCACTTAACAACTGTGTTACTCACTCAACAACTGCCGTTGTTCACTTAATAACTGTGTCAAGAAAGGTCATAAAATGGGGCAAAACTCACTCAACTAATGTCTCACTTAGCAACAGAAATTTGGGGTTCAGTTGTGGTTGTAAGATGAAGATTACTTGTATTATCAACAAATGTTTATTTGGTATATTTATGCCATGACTAGTAGAAAAGTAACACAATACTACAATGTTACAATGCAGGTTCATGAATTCAGAAGGATAGTTATGTAATAAATTGTCCTGAAAATGTTTTGGGTTTCTTCAATCTAACTTTATACATAACAACTCAGATATAACTACTACTGAGATCAATGAGATTAACTTCCATGTAAATATATAAAATATATCATTATGCAAAAATTCAATCCTGCACATCTCTGTTAATAAACTAATTAATCTATTTTATTTTTGTTTTGTGATCTGATTTTGAAAGGCAAAAGTACTTTTAAAAACATTAAAGTATGGTATCATTATGATGACAAGATTAATAAAAAAGAAAAATGTTAATAAACAGAATTTCAATAATTTTGATCATATCTTTAAATGTGTACTGAAAACTGATAAATTAGGTTACAAGCAACACATTATCAAAATTCTTGCGGCTAGTTTGATTTCTCCTTTTAATGTTACAGAGTTATTATCTGAGTCAATCCTATGCTTGAAAAAGCACATTTCTTGATATTTTGGTGAATTTCAAATACGGGGTTATAGCCAAGTAGAACACATACATCTTTAACATTCAGAAATTGATCTAGAATTTAACAATCTTGTTGATGTCAGCCCCAAACCCAACAATCATAGGAAATGACCCAACCATATGGATTAATGTACCAATTCCTAAATTACATCTCCAATGGCAGGGCAATTGTAATCAAACTTCATTTAACATTATCTGAAGCATCAATATATACAAAGTTTTAAATCACATTAATTTCATTTTACGATCATAGGAAACAAAATTATCATTGTTTAATGCAACCTTTCAATGATTATCAGAGTACAGCATTCAAGCTCATCATGCTAATGGTTACATAAATAACTAAAATCAATTTCATCAACTTGTTAAAAGAGTTACTGACTTAGCAGCCACTACCTCTAACTTCTGGGGAGCTTCAGAAGCAGCAGCTGTATTTGGTTCAGTGTTAATTGAATATTCTGCCAAAAAGTTCCTTGATGTAAATCAAATTGTTTTAACTCCCCCCCCCTCCCAAAATGCGCACACACATATATTAAATGTAATAATTTTGAATTTAAAAAATTGCTTCCTCAGACATGAATTGATTCAAAATAATAATATTGTGATGTCCAGTTTACCCCCTCCCCCAACAGATTTAGACATTATTTTTTAAATGGGATTATCCCATAAAGTAATGAGATAAAGGGTACAAAATTAGATCTGTAACCCAATACTTGCTCTGTATGTCTTGGAGCATTAACAGCAGATAATGAAACTGATACTTACATTAACAGGAATCCCAATACTAATCAAAAATTAAATGGGGCTAGATAATGAGTCTCAAATTGAGCCTGAAGACAAGGATAAAACTTATTAACTGGGATATATTGCACATGTATATATGAGTGTTCACGTCTCTCCCCTTCCCTGTGTGTGTGTGTGTGTGTGTGTGTGTAGTACTGCAGCCTCAGAGGAACAGTAGAAAGACCAAGCCATTCTGTTTGAAAGTTCACCAAGCATTTTAAACAAATCAAAAGAACAATTCTATTTGTAATTTATTCATATGATATAATTTAATGCGAGATCTCACACAACAAACAAGTTTCAAATTAAAGACATTACTTTATTAATTTATGTATAACATCCAGATCAAGGCTGCAACAATCCAAAGGACCCCTAAACTGCAGCAATGACAGTTACCTGTATTGTTCTGTTTATTTTACTTATTAAATTTATATGGTCAAGTCACTTTTTTCAGTGCTGTTGTAACTTCGAACAGTCACTAAATAAACTGTTGTAAATCAAGGACTACCTGTACATGTTATCTAATTTTCTATAAGAAGCTGTTTTAAAGACTTACAAGATTGGCAGGGACTTAAACAACACAGCTCAAGTTTATGAACGTACTGACAGCATTATTCATTGCACAGGTGACCGGTAATACAGTTTAGGTATTATACTATCATTGGATCAGAGTTTGGCCAAGGCAATGCTTCTGCATCACAGTGGTGGGTTCCTCCCGGTTCGGCCGAGCCGGTAGCAGTGACGATATGATGTCACCGAACTGGTTCTCTTTCTCCAGGAGCTGGGCCCTCCCACCCCCACATTATTCCTACCTTTTATTTCTTCTTTTTTAGCCCAGCTGATAAATGCAGCAGAGTGGATTGCCGCATCTCAGCTGGGCAGATTCCTAACGCGCTTGCGCGGAGCAAAGCGCATGCACGAAGAGAACCGGTAGTAAAGCTGGTTAGAACTCACCACTGCTGCATCATCATCATCATCATCATCATCATCATCATCATCATCATCACTATACCTGGAAAATTTCTCTATAGGAGAACAGCAAGTTGGTAGGATTTCTACAGTCTATTTAATGCCAATTGCTCCTCTGCAATGTTCACACTACAGAATCAAGTCACTAGACTCGAGTCCAAGCATCTCAGTTATGACAACACAAACCTAAAGTTCTCTCACACATCTCTTTGAGATGGGAGTTTTGCTGACTCAGAAGATTATGAACCTCTACTAAGAGAAGCTTTCCTCAAAGCCGGGTCCTCAAACACCGTAGTAAAACGAGCGTCACAGATCTAACTTCCCATGTGTCTCTCAAGTCATCTCAAAAAGGAAACGAGGAAGCTCTGAGAAGAAGCATCAACGAGAGGCTAAAAGCAAACCTCAGTTACCTGCTACTGTTGTTACTACTGTCCCCGCTCGGGTGAAGATCTCCAGAGGCGGCAGCGTCACCGGGATGGGGCATCGAAGTGTCCTCGGCCGTAGAAGACCAGGTGGTCGGCGCCGAGTCATGTTGACCGTCGGCATCTGTGGTGGTGGCGGCGGAGGCGGCGTTGACAACCGCCGGGACAACTGAACTGGTGCTGCTGCCTCCACTATTCCCGCCTCTCCCTGCAGCATTGGGCCGGACATTGGGCTTCACGCTAAACCTGGCGCGTCGGAACATGATGTCGCGAGGCGGAAGGTCCGGCACCGGCTAAAGTCCAGCGTCGCCGGCGAGGCCGCCTCATGTCATCGGCCCGGCTCCGTCCAGCTCCCCGCCCTTCCTTTCTGGGAGAGGACTTGAATCAGCTGCTCCTAGATGGCGTTGGTCGCGTCATCATTCTGCGACAAAAGCGAGCCGAAAGGTTTGGTTCTTATTAACGGGTTAGTGAACCGCCCGCAATGCAGAAATCGAGTTTTGCCTTTCAGATTTGTACTGAGGAAAGGAGGGGTGGTTTGTTAATTCATCGTTGGATAGGGGAAGGATGGCAAATACATTTTCTAAATAAATAAATCCCATAATAATAACAGAGTCGGAAGGGACCTTGGAGGTCTTCTAGTCTAGTCCATGTAGTAAAGGCTATGCCCTATGTGCCATAATTCTGTATTTCATTCCCATTTAACGTCTTGTTTCTCCCCCCCCCCATTTGCACAATTCTGTATCACTCTTCTGTTTATTTTCAATAAGAAAGAATGCCTTAGCCTTTCATTAATTAGGTAAGGTGGGATTGTAATTTCCAGAATTTTACACTGACACACAAGATTAGGACAAAAAACTGTAAAGTACCATTATTATAGAAATTGTGTGAAATAAGAACATGTGCCTCTTGAGTCCAAGGATTTTCAAAAGTATGTCCTGGTGACTTCAAGCGTGTTAATATAAAATTTACTCTGATGCAATAGAGAGTAAATCCACCCCCTCTTCCACGTGACAATTGTTCAGATTGTTAAAGATTGTTTCCTTATCTCAATCTTCACTTTTTGTAGGCTAAATGCTACCAGATTCTTTAAATACAGATATAGCCATTTAGTTTGGTCAATCTTCACTTTTTGTAAGTGCTTCAAAATTCTTTAAATACATCATTTCACACAACTTGATTTCCAAACCTCTCACAATCTTATACCCACTAATTCCAATTTCTCACTATTCTTTTTGAAGAATAGCATTTCTCTAGACCAAATTAATCTGATTGCAAACAATCACATAATACAGTCACCAAAATAATTCATTGGAACATCTCTAAAAATTATCATGTACCAGTAATGAAAAATTATTTGTATCCCATTTTTATTATTTTCACAAATAACTAAAGACACCTATTTTATTCACAGCAAAAATCCTGTGAAGTAGGTTGAATTGAGAGAACATGACTGGCCCAAAACTGGCTTTCATGGCTAAGGGGGGACTTGAACTCACATCCCAGTTTCTAGCTTGATTCCTTAACCACTAGACCAAAGTGGCAAAAAATTAGTGGGAACATAGAGTTGAAAATGCAGCAGGTTAATTAATATATGATGGGATTTCTGAATACAGATAAAGTTGGCTGATAACACACAAGACATAACTATGGTTTTTAAAAAAGAAAATATTGATAACTGATGTGGCAATACGAGAGGACAGTAAAATACAAAGAATTGGAGATCTTAAGTAACAAAAATCAAAATTGAAAAATTATGGCATAAAGCAGTTCTTGTATTCCCAGCAGCTATCTACCCACTGGGTGCCAATACCTAAAAATTTGAGATGGCACTTAGAACATTTAACTGTCAGTTGCAAAAGACCACAATACTTGGACCCACACATAACTACACCAATATATAACAATTTTAGGTTGTTGAGACAAACGCAATGCTTATAAAGACCAATAGCCGTTAAAGAACTGACATCTGTGACTTCCCTTTGTTGTGAACAAAGAATAATAATGTTCTGACGAACATTTACGAACTTAAACCTCCTTTGAGCTGGATATTGGATTCCCTGATGCTGCTAATCCCAGGAGGGATACTGGTTCTATGGACATGGGGCCGAGGAGGCGGAATATGGCTATCCTCACCCTTGAGCTTTCTATCAAAGTCCCCATGGATTGGCCTGGTGAGAGACGGCCACCCTGGAAACTTTCGGGGTCGAATGATATGCACCTCCTTAGCCACTGTCGTGAGAGGACAGTGGAGCTTGGCAGCCTGACCATGGACTGGAATTTTCCCTACGCTTATAACATCAGTGGTCCCCCACCCTTGGACTGTTTCCCCTTGATAGCTATATGTATTCGGTGTCGGAACTCCTCGCCCTGCGAGATTCTCCCCTCTCGCAGATTTGGCCCCCCCACATTATCGAGGGCCTATCTCGATGACGGACTTTGGAGTCCGGAGAGATGGCATGGAGCAAGGAAGAATTTATGGGGCTTTTTAGGGAAATTTTTAAAGATTTTAAGGGGTTCTGGGGGAGGGGGTTGTAATTATTCTTTTAAAGATATTGGGAAGACGACTAAGGCGGATTGGGGGGGAAATCCACCAGGGTCAGAGCCGTGCCCGGCACAGGGTAACGATCCGGGGGGCACCGGACGAGGGATTGGGAAAGGGATGGGGGACGATATCTATGAGGGCTGTACCATCGGCACGGTGAATGGGAGGGGCAGATATGGCGGGAGCAGGGGACCACATCAGGTGCTGGGGGCTCGCACTTGCTGTCTGAGAGCAATTGCTTGCCCCGGTCCCCAAGGCTCTGCTCGGATACTAGGTGGCTTAGATACTCAGGAGCTGGGCCTTCGGCTGATGCTGTGCAATGCCAGGTCCGTGGTCAATAAGGCCCCCCTCATTCACGATCTTATACAAGAGGGAGGAGCGGACCTGGCGGGTATTACGGAGACCTGGTTGGGCCCGGAGGGTGGCGTCCCTCTGGTTGAAATGTGCCCACCAGGCTTCAGAGCATTCCATCAGCCGAGGGCTCAGGGGAGGGGCGGGGGGGTGGCGGTTATTATTAACGAGGATCTGGGTCCGAGGGAGACCACTGTGCCTCAGATAGCCGGATGTGAGTCCCTCCTTGTGAGGTGGGGCCGTGGGGTTCAGATGGGCTTGTTGCTTACGTACCTGGCTCCCTGCCGCGTGGCAACAGCCCTACCTGAGCTACTCGACGTGATAGCCACGGTGGCAGTAGATACACCCAGGCTTTTAGTCATGGGTGATTTCAACTTGCCATCCGTCGGTGAAACGTCTGAGGTGGCTCGGGAGTTCATGGCTTCCATGACGGCCATGGACCTGACCCAGTTAGTTCATGGCCCTACTCACAGGGGAGGTCACACTCTGGATCTGATTTTTGTCTCTGGCCAGTGGTTGAGTGGTCTTGTTATAGGGGATATAGACATGGAACCCTTGTCATGGTCTGACCACTCACTCCTTCGCCTAGATCTTCGAACCGCGACCCCTCGCCGCAGGGAGGTGGATCCAATTAGATGGATCCGCCCCAGGCGCCTGATGGATCCTGATAGGTTCCAGACGGAGCTTGGGCCATTTCCTGAGGATCTAGCACATGACTCGGCCGAGGACCTGGTAGCCGCCTGGGATCGGGCGGCTGGTGGGGCCTTGGACCGAGTTGTGCCTTTGCGGCCTCTGACCCGATGCCGATCCCGTGCGGCTCCTTGGTTTACTGAGGAGCTGAGGGAAATGAAGCGCCGGAAAAGACGCCTGGAGAGCGGTTGGAGGGCCAGTCTCGCTGAATCTGATCGAACACTGGTAAGGTCGCATATTAAGGCCTACCTAGTGGCGATAGAGACGGCAAAGTCTAACTACTTTTCCGCCTCTATTGCGTCATCAGGGAATCGTCCGGCTGCCCTGTTTAGGGTGACCCGCGCCCTGCTCCATCCAGGAGTGCGGGAGGATCCCTTAGAAGGCAGGGCGGAGGATTTCGGACAATACCTGTATGACAAAATCGCCCAGATCCGGGGGGATTTGGACTCTGACTGGGTAGATCAGGGCAGGGTGACGAGGAATAGTCTTGAGAATGTTATCTGGGAGGAGTTTGATGCTGTGACTCCTGATGATGTGGACAGGATTTTGGGGAGACTTAGTGCGGCCACATGTTTACTGGACCCGTGTCCCTCCTGGTTGGTACTGGCTTCCCGGGAGGTTACACAAGGCTGGCTCCAGGGCGTCATTAATGCGTATTTGAGTGAGGGTCACTTCTCCGCTGCCCTGAAAGAGGCGGTGGTGAGGCCTCTCCTCAAGAAGCCGTCCCTGGATCCGGCAATATTGGCTAACTATCGTCCTGTCTCCAACCTTCGCTTCATTGCGAAGGTTGTTGAGAGTGTGGTCGCGCAACAGTTTCTGCAATTCCTGGAGGAAACATCCTATCTAGATCCGTTCCAGTCGGGTTTCAGGTCTGGGCACAGCACGGAAACGGCATTGGTCGCGTTGGTGGATGATCTCTGGAGGGCTCGGGACAGTGGTTGTTCCTCTGTTCTGGTCCTATTAGATCTCTCAGCGGCTTTTGATACCATCGACCATGGTATCATGCTGCACCGGCTGGAAGAGTTGGGGTGGGAGGCACTGTGTTGCGGTGGTTCTCCTCTTTTCTCTCCGACCGGTCGCAGTCTGTGTTGGCAGGGGGGCAGAGGTCGACCTCGAGGCCTCTCATCTGTGGAGTGCCGCAGGGATCGGTCCTCTCGCCCCTTCTGTTCAACATTTATGTGAAGCCGCTGGGTGAGATCATCCGTGGCTTTGGGGTGAGATACCATCAGTACGCTGATGACACCCAGCTGTACATCTCCACCCCAGGCCACCCCAACGATGCCCTTGAAGTGATGTCCCAGTGCCTGGAGGCTGTGCGGATCTGGATGGGGAGGAACAGGCTCAAGCTCAACCCTTCCAAGACTGAGTGGCTGTGGCTCCTGGCATCCCGATATAGTCAGTTGACTCCATCACTGACCATTGGGGGCGAGTCTTTGGCCCCCACTGAAAGGGCTCGCAATCTGGGAGTCCTCCTGGATAGGCAGCTGTCTTTGGAGGAACATCTGACGGCTGTTACCAGGGGGACCTTTTATCAGGTTCGCCTGATTCGCCAGTTGCGGCCCTTTCTCGATCGGGATTCCTTGTGCACAGTCACTCACGCCTTCGTCACCTCTTGCCTTGACTACTGCAATGCTCTCTACATGGGGCTCCCCTTGAAGAGCACCCGGAGGCTCCAGCTGGTCCAGAATGCAGCAGCGTGGGTAGTGATGGGAGCAACATGGCGCTCCCATGTAACACCGCTCCTGTGCGAGCTGCACTGGCTCCCGGTGGTCTTCCGGGTGCGCTTCAAGGTGTTGGTTATCACCT